AGTCCTCGATATAAAATTTCCTATATGGTGATTCAGGAGTCGGGAATGAGAGACTGATTCTGAACAAAGCCTACAGTCTGTTTTCATGAAGAAATGACTCACTTTTCAGATTCAGGCATCATCTCTTTCTCAGCTTTTTCCTTTTCAGCCACATCAGCCTTGAGCTGGTCACCCAAAAAAAAAAAAAAGTTATTTCAATCGACGGTGAATTCACTGACTCAATACTTTGCAAGTGATACAATTCATAGAAACAAATACCAGCCCCTGATGTCCATCGGAAAACGTAGCGTCACTGCGGATGAACACATCTGTGAGATGGCTCGTCACGTCTTGTGCCACGAGGCTGTATTGTCCCCCGTCTCTTTTGACTTTGAGGCCAAATATGTCAGAAAGTACGTCCGTCTCCATGCCGGAGGTCACGGCTTCTATCTGCCTGCTCTCCCGCCGAGGGGAGAAAGCGGCCGAGCGCCGCCTTAGCCGGTCCGCACCACTTGTTACCTCCGTGACCTCATCAAGCGTCGGGTCGAGAATACCGCCGAGCACGTCCGACAGGGTCATCCTTTTGGCCCCTTCGATGAGTCCGCCATTGACAAAAGCGACGTAGAGCACGTGGCTAGTGCCGCTCACTACAAAACAAACGAACCGGAGCAAAGTAACGAGAAGGACTCTGAGGAGTGCAACAGATGACAAGAGGACATCCTTCAGGGTCATTTTTGTGAGAGCGCGAAGCTTTTTGATAGATATGAGAGACGTCGGTGAACACATGAAAAACATTCGCTTCTTATCCAGGCCTCCGTCTTCGTTTTCCTCTTCTTCTTCTTCTTCTCCCCCGTGTCGCTCTCCGCTTTCAGAGCCAGAGATCTGAGCCGCCAGCTGCATCTCGAAGATTGTGTCTTCGCAGAAGTTGACAAACATCTCCATTTTCTCCTTCTCGCCACCTTCGTTAACCACGTCGAAAATGAACTGCCGCTTCGACTCCTTCACCTGAGGCTTCTCCCACTGCGTGCGGCTAGATTGACTGATCTCAAAGTAGACGCGCTCCATGCGCTTGCCGCCGCCGAGGATCTCGATGCGGCCTAAATAGGGTTGGAAGTAAGTCAGGACGCACTCGGCGAGTTCCAAGAAGGCACTCAGCCTTAAGTCGTTGGGCATGTGCTCGGACAAATTGGTGAGCAGCACGGCGATGCTGAAGCCGATGTCTTTGGCCGGCTCATGGAAGCGATCCACGAAAGCCTCGTAATCCAGGATTTCCCGATTGTCCGACTCAACGCAGGAGAGGAGGAAAAGAGTTTCAACTTGTGAAAACTGCTTGGAGAGCTCCATGGCCTTCTGGAAGTCCTTCCTGGAGACGCAGCCCTTGCGATCGGGGTCAAACTGGTGAAAAACATCCGAAGCGGTGAGGTCTTTAAGTTTGAGGAACGTGTCGAAAAACTTGAGGATCATCTCCACGTTGCTCGCCGATTCCACCAACATATCCACCATCTGCTTTCCGATGGTTCCGTTTACAATGTTACCTGCAGGGATTGGGGGGAAGAAAAAAGGCCATTGTCCAGCATGATTTTTGAAGTAAAGCTGAAGAGTGAACCCGCACTATTCGCTGAGAATCTGGACCAAGCCTTGATGCAAATAGGAAAAAAATTCACAAATAAATGCTCACCTAACAGAGTCGGATAATTGCTACTACTATCCCAAAATATTAACACCTCATTTCAAACTCATCACAGAGTTACCCTTAAACCTGAATGTAGATTTGAATTAAAAAGAAAAAAAATATACACAGAAAAAGCGAGGATGCTGTGGTAGGTCGCCGTTTTGCGGGTTGTATAAACAACATTTACTACTTTCCTATGGGGCATTTGATGACATTTTTGGTTCAATGATTCTCTCATTTTGAAACACACACAAGTATACCGCGACAAAACTTTTTAGTTTGATACACAAGCGTTGCCAGGGAACGAGCCAGAGCCTTCCTCTGCATCGTCATGAGGAGTTGACATACCTTCTAACATGGACAGCAAGAAGACGACCATGTCCTTTTGTAAGTCCATGAGCTCTTTTAGGAGCTCTATTTGCCTTGAATCCTGCACTCCCCCCCACAAAAAAACAACATTAAAGGCCATAAATTATGAATTGACACGGCTGTAAAAGTGTTTCAGCATCATTTCAGAAGGTGACAATTCATGCCCGGACATACCCGGGAGAGCTTCATCTGCATATGAGCAAAGACATGGAGGAATCCAACCACGGCATCCCACAGACGACTGTGAGCGAGGCTTTGCTGGTTTCCGTTACACGGCCCCTGCGGGTAAAGCCGACGAGCGGGAGACGATGAATTATAAATGACAACATACAGTCGATGCCGTTAATCTTTTGCAGAAATGGAAACCGGCCCACCTGTATGTATTCGGTGAGTGTATTGAAGACCTGCTTGGCCACTTTGATAGCCTTGGAAAAATTGCAGCGGCCTTGCGCATCAATGGCATTCTTTCCAGAGTAGTACCAGTAGAAGTCACTGATGGACTCCTTGAGAAGTCGTATGAAGAAAGATTGAGTCTGTCTACATCCAAAAGGAATAGAGGGGCTCTGCGGTACGATTTATTCATGCTTACCTGTATTCTTAGTAGGTAATCCACAGTGGAAATGATCATGTTGACGGTAGTATTGTTACCCGTCTGTGTTCTCAGGTAATTCTGGAAATCTAAGGGATGAAATTAAAAGTGAGAGTGGAGGGGAAAAAAAATAAAAAGAAGAAGAGCATTTTCCCCTTTTATAGCAGACATGTCCTGTAATCTCACCACTTGCACAGCAATTATAAATCTGTGCAGAGTTAATTAAAATGTATCCAAAAAAAAAACAGGGAGAAAGAAGCAATAACCAGAGTTGTGTCCTTCACAAAGCAGCTGCAGAAAACGGAACAGGTCGCAGGTTAGCTCTTCATCAGGCATCACCTTCTCTAATGGGAAAAGGGGACGAGAGGTCAAGAAATGTCAAGGGCAATCCAATGAGTCCAGTTTCATTCGAGCGATAAGGCAACATTGTATTGAAAGGGCCACCGCCGCTTTCCATATGAATGCGCTACCTGAGCGCTCATCCGTGGCCATGCCTAATCCTTCAGCTTTGTTCTGTCGCTCAAATGCATTCAGATCCAGCACACTGGGCAAACAGACGCACGTTATCATGAGCACAACTTTGGGACCGTGACCATTTTCTATTTTTTGCATAACGACTCTCACCCACCTGCATGACCGCATGAGTCCGGCCATGCTCTGGAAGAAGCCGACGTCTCGTTTTGCTCTCAAATAATCCAGCATTTTCTAATTTAAAAGAAGGCAAGGGGTGATTAGATCGGGGAATTAGTCTTGGAATTTGGCAAAAGAAACTAAATGCGCAAGCGGTCAAACAGGAGCAACATCTTAGGTTTTATGAAGTATAACCTAAGAAAGTAAAGTCTGAGGGTGCAATTTTGAGGCGAAATGAGCGCGACAAGACACCTGCTGAACGGCGGCGTTTCCTCCGCTGAGAACGGCAATACCCAGCTTGAGTGTTGGAGCAATCATGGAGCCCATGGTCCCTGATTAGATGTCACATCATCACAATCAGAAAATGGAGCGCTCACTCGAAAAACACTTCATGACTACAATACAGCCAAATGCAACCGCGAGGAAAGACGTTCATATGATTGGTCTCGGAAAACAAAAACTTTCTGAAATGCTTCCCTTTCGACCCGCCGGCTCCTCAGCTCGTACCTTTGCTGGCACTAATACTTTGCAAGACCATCTCGGAAACTCCACGAAGATGCAACCTGGCCTGCTGGTACAGCAGCTTTTGCTTGTCCATCTCTTTCTCCTGTCATACAAGTGGGACTATTTTAGTCGTCTTTTGATACCAGACTAGTGAAAGCTGTTCAGGATATGTGTGCGCCGATCCAAATGGACTCACTTCAAAACTTTGCAGCTCCTGTCGCTCCTCGTCGTCATCTTCCCGATGGCAGCTCTGCGGCGATGCAAAGCAGAAAAAAAACGCAAAAATACTGAGATGGTAAGGACGGACAAAATGAATGATGATCCCCTGCCCCCCTCTCGCCAACAAGCCAAATCTGCATGTATAAAATCGATCTTAAAAGCCCACATAAATCCCCTGTGGGCCTGTGCAACATTTAAGAATCCCTTTTGTTTAGCTCACGCTCTTTTCTATTACCTTGGCCATTATCTCCACGTAGGAAACATAGAGCCAGTCGATTTCAAGATCACTTTGAAGGGAAGGCACATGAGCTCAGATCAGTTGAGATATGCTAAGCAGGAATTGTGAGGTGGGGGAGAAAGAAAATGTTGCGAGCTCTTGTATCAGGACAACACCTCCTTTCTGTCAAGGCACTGCAACTGAAGAGCGTGATGAGCTGTAGGAGGGGATCCATCAGTTTGGCGCCATCTCTTTTCTCCTCTTGTCTTCCTCCTGTCAACTCCGTCATGCGGAGTTTCTGTGAAAATAATGGGGAGGAGAAAAAAAATATATGCATGATTCTCCTTTCTGGAAAACCTCACAGTGTCATCCAATTACTTCTACAGCATACAGAAACAAAAAAAAAAGGATGAAAAATCAATCAAGAAAAATAATACTTGTAAAAGATACTCCAAGGTTTTCTACCGCTTACAGCTAAATCCTCCACGAGCTTCTCCTCAAAAGTGTGCTCCTCAGCTAATATCCAGGATTTATTGTAGCCTTGGAGGAACAGGTTGACGGCTCTGTGCCTGGGAAGTGAGACGGACGTTTGAGGGGACAGCAAACTCAACACTGGCAAGTGTTCCCGTTTGCATTCGCCGCATGCAAATAGCAGATGCAAAAGCAGGCGGCATAGAAATAAGCTTTTAAACCACCGTTTGTCCAAGTTGGATGACGTTTAGTTATCGTTGGCGATAACCAAAGGCCACTGGAATTTTTCTTTTTTTTTTTTTTGCGCATATGTTGTTCCACAAGTGGATCAAGATGAAGTGCAGTTTCGAGTGTAAGACAAAAACGCGAACCACTTTTTCCCCATGCTGCAAAATAACAGAACATTTGCAGAAGCAGACAAAAGCCGTGCAAATGTTCCCCAAGATTACAAAGCAAAAGCAATTTTAGTACCTGGGAAGGTTGTAAAGGGGAGCCATCCTCAGACAGGCCACCACCGCTTGCTTCCTCTGCTTGGACAAGACTTTGTGCCATGTTGCTCTTTTATGCTTGTGCGGATGTTCCACCTAAACAGAAAAATCAAAGACAGAAAAGGGAAACAAGGTTTGGTGCACATTTATAAAGCAGGGCCTTGAATGATTTTATTAATAGCATGACATTCGTCCATTTGCCCTTGGGTGCTTTCTTTAATTTCATATCAGAATTCAAACGGGGGTTTGGAATCCGAGGCACGTTTCTTTTGTCGTTGGAATTCAAAAGATCAATTCAAGTAAATACTGTACGTCGGTTAAAGATAAGTAGCAGCACTGAAATAACAATTATTTAAAGACCTCAGGCTGTCACTTCTCTCTGAGCATCCATCTAAAACAAAATGCGCTTTTTCCTGTTTTAGCGCTCACCTGATCAAGGTAATGGAGGACTCGAGCAAGTGCCACAATCTTGTCCACAGTTGTCTCCACGTCAGTGGCGGGGAATGAATTAAAGATGTCTCGGTTCAAGCGTGTTGATGACTTCTCACAGAGGGGGGTAAAAAAAAATTAAATAAAATGTCACATTTATTTATTCAGTTGCAAAGTTCTGGAATCGCAATCACTGGAAAGTATTTATTGCTGCTGGAGTGAACCAAATAACGCTGCATGCAGTGCGTCTTTGGTATTGTGCGACAAATTCAAGTCACGGCGTGATGGAGGAACGGGTTTTACAGGCTACAAGACCACTCCAAAATCTAATTAACGGCATTCTTGTGGCTTGAATTAAAAGTCTAACGGCATTCTTGTTGCTTGAATTGAAAAATAAATAAATAAATATCGGGGCTAGTCGGGCGTGTCGCCGCGCATACAGGGTGTCAGCAGAAAGTACATGCACGTCGTTCAAGAGAGAGAATCCTCGAGGGCAAGTGGGGGCATTTTGGGAAGGGGGGCGGGGGGGGGGGGCAATGCAGTGTGATCCAGACAAAGTAGCAGCAATATGGTGAAAACAAAATGACAGCCATTACCTGACCATGAGAACGTAAAAGGTATTTATACACACGGTCACGAATCTCATCCTCAGTGTTCTTCTGTGGAAAACAAAGCGGTCAAATGTTAATAAACATGGAGCACATAAAAACAAAACAGTCGTGTTGACTTTTATATTAATTACTCAACTACACATGAGTATGTTTTTCAATGAACAGTGTCTTATCTGTTATGATGACCAAATCTTGTGTTGCATGCTCATGAGATCGCCTCAAGTGTCCAATTTTGTGATTATTTTTTTTTTTGTCCATGAGTAGGCGAAGCGGGAGGCGCCATTTGATCATATTGATGCTATTGTTTATGGCTTGGTTATTTCAAGGTCACCTGGTCAATAAATGGGACAGTAAACACAACAATGGCAGATAGCTGTAACGATCCAAAAAATTTTTTTGTTTTGTTTAGTTTTTTTTAGGCAGTTGTTTTCTTTTGAAAGTGATCCAAGATGGAACACATTGATAATCATTCCCCATGCAGCAATCACTTGGCATGACGCCCACATTTCCAACCAACCTGAGCGAAAGCGCTCTTTGCAGTCATGATGAGAGTCTCATTGCTGGAAAAACAAACCCTCAGTCCCACCGGGAGAAGTCGCTTCACGGAAGCCACGATGAGGGAAGTGTGTACGGAATAACGATCGCCCTTCCTCTTCATCCGCCTTTTCTCGCAGTCAAGCTATAAAGGGAACGATACGACATTAGTGGACTGCTTCATTTATGAGGCCCACTTGTGACTAACAGCGAACCTTTGATGTGTTGTCGTTGACCAAGAATGCCAAATTGTTGATTTCGTTTTGGACCACGTAGTTCTGTTCCTCCCACTTGAAATTCTGCAGTGCAACAGCAAATAAGATACGCAAGACAAGACGTCTATCCGAAGAAAAAAAAAAAAAGCAGCGACAAAAGACAACCATGCTTGACAAACTCACATGAGATTTGGCCCAGAAAATAAAGACCTCTGCCACCATGCTGAACAGCTGCTCAGCATCAGGGTTTGGCTCTTGCTGCCAACGGGCCCTGAGAGGGATTAACCAAAAATGTGCAAAGGAAGCAAGCAACATGGCTGAACCACTCTTGAAATAACACAATAGAGATATTTTTGCACCTAGAAATGTTCCCGAATTGGTGCTACGATCAAACATGTTTTCCTTGCAGGCCATAATGTAGTTTTAGTTGCTTGTGGGGGGCCGGTTATAACGGGGCAACCACATAAATGTTTCACAGCTGGGGGTGTAAGAGTACGCCATAAAATCTTCATCCAGTCAGTACCATGTTTTTAAATTCACTATTTTGCTTAAATCGTGCACAATCGGGAAACAAATTGGGGAGGGGGAGGCTCAGGAAAACCCTGCTTATCTTTTGTGTAAACAGAAACATATTTAACAATATTTAAAGTGAAACAACAGCTGAAATATTTTATTTTTTGGTAAGTATAACATCAGTAGCTAAAAAATAAACAAATAAATAAAACGCTTACTTTGTGACACTTGTGATCATGTTCCTATACACCCCATCAAATGACATTATTGAGATATTTAGAAAAATTGTGACAAGCATTCACTGGCCACAAAAACAATGCGGAGAGGCTAATTTGGCCTACGGGCCTTGAGTTTGACACTTGCGCTTTTGCCCATTTCCAACCGCCGGAGTTGCCCATCTTACCGATTGGAGTCCACAAAGGGGATGAGGAGAGGATAGAATGCGTAGAGGTCTCGCACGAGAACACTGAACTTCTCCTGTATCTGCAATTCTGCTTCCGACGTAGCGCAGCCTCCGACTTTCATTCGCTCCTCCAAGAGCAACACATTTTCCGCCCTCTTCCTCAACTTGTCCATCAGAGGAAGGAAGTGGCTCTTGAGCAGCTCAGCACGGGCTTTGGAGATGAGTGGCTGGGAATGGACTGAGATACACACCACTCACAGTCGAGTTCTAAAATTCAGTGGAACATTGGTAGGGAACATGTGACCTAACCTGCCAGCTGCTTCATCCAGTCACCCTGGCTCGCACCCACGTGGTTGTGGATGATGCGGAGAATGTGCCCCAGCAGGTCGCTGGCGTGCTGAGGAGTTACAGATGTGAGGACCGGGCTGTCTCGCCACCAGCGGGACACATAAGCGCACAGCATTGGCAACGTGACGTTCGTGACATGGACATATTGGGCCTGCCCAGCGGCGGCGCCGGCATCCGTCAACTCCTGCGCTTCCCCCATCGCTTGCTCCAGAGAGGGCAGAAGGGGGCATATTTCTTCCGCATCAACTGGCAATCCCAGGTCTAGGAGCGGGAGAAAACAGCAAAGCAATATTGTAAATAAAAACAAATGGTGTCGACGACAAGTAAATGCGTTACCATCTCTTTCAGGTGTACTCATTGTATTGTAGATGGAGTGAGGGTTGTTTGGATTGATGGATGGCTCCAGGAAGCAAACAGGAAAAGCAGCAGTCAGCGCTGCCAGACAAGCACCTGCGGCTGACCTCTGCCTGCATTGAAAACATGCTGTGACACAAGTTCATCCATCCGGTATGTTCTCATTCTGGTTGCGGGCAAGCTGGAGGGCCTTTTCGAACGTCCGAGATGTCACTCAAGTACACGACTGACTTGTAGCAATCACCTTCTAAGATTGAAATTCAGCTCGCAGATGTCGAATCTGATTTACGTTCATGTAAGCCTGTGGTGTCCAAACTACAGCCCGGGGGCATTTATGGCCTGACGTCCTTTTTTTCTGCGACCCCGACATAACAAAAATGACATTTGACATGAACTGCAAGGTTAGTTAAAAAAAAGGTGAAGGTATGAAGAGTGAGAAGGAAGGGTGTACTGTCGAGCTTGTCTCGATATTCAAAGATACAAATGAACCATTTAAAAGGCGAAAATAATTTCTTCCACTTTGTGCTCTATGGATGATTCATGAAAACATCGCAATAATGCTCCTCAAGTAACTGAAAATTTTTCTTGTTTTGCATAAACAGAAACTACACTGTCCAAAGCTGTAAATGTGTGTGAAAAGTTGATTGTCGATGTGTCCTGCGATTAGCTGGTCACCAGTCCAGGGTGCACCTTGCCTCTTGCCCAGTCAGCTGCGATAGGCTCCAGCTCACCCAGAACCATAATAAGAAAATAGATGGATGGGTTACGAATGGGGAAATGTCCTCAAATAGCCATGCAAGGATCCAAGAGTTAAAACAAGCCTGCGAGCATTTTTTCGCGATACTGCAAACAGCCACTGAATTTGTTGCAATGTGTTACATAACAAGGCAGTACCCCTCCATGTAGACGCCGCTGCTGGTGCCAAGCGAGTAGAGGCTGTTAACGATCCTGTAACAGGACGCCTGCACTCTTCCCACTGGAAAAGACGAGGTGACACTTAAATCGCTTAAATCCTCATAAGAGACATACTCCAAGGACGGTGAGAGAGGGAAAGGTGAAGCCACACAATCGCAGAGAAATGGACTGGCGAGACGAGTGCTGATGCAGGAAATGGATGATCCCCGAGAAAGGTCATCATATTAGCAAAGGAGACAATAGGCTCCGGCTGCTCTGCGACCCTGACTGAGCCGCTTCATGTGAGCTGACTTCAAAGGTATGCATATTGGCTGCTAATCTCAGTGTATAATCTTTTTTGGGGGGGAGAGGGGGGGGTTGATAAAAAAGGAATATGAAGGGCCAAACAAGAGCAGGCAGTACGCATATTTCATAAATGTCCATGAAATTCATTTCATTCCATGAAAACACATCAACAGGAAAACTGATTTGTACATGCCACAAAAAGGCACAGGTGGTGTGCATATTGATCATTTGTGATGCGTTGTGCAGTTGGTTATAACATCTACATCCGTTTCATTTATTTATCAATAAGTATTTTCGTTTTCATTTCCTTTGACATGTTGTTACTCAGACAATCCTATTTCAATTTCTCCAAAATTTCTGTACACCGTCTGTACAGGCTTCCCTTTCCAAACTGAACTGCTGAAATAAATTCATTTTTCGACAACAGTCTAGCTAATTGAGATGAACCTGTATAGAGATAGATAGAGATCTTAAAATGCATAGAGACATAAAGGCAGTGTTTTTTTTCCTCTCACCGAGAAGGTCAACACCATAGTTCTGGCTGCCAAGATGCTGGAATAGGGACGTGAGCATTGGGAAGAGCACGGAGGTTGTGTAGCTGAACACCTTGGCGAGGCCTTTCGCCTGTTGACTGCGACACTGATGCAACGAGACAGAGGTCGCCGAGAGGTTTTCCACGGTCGTCTCCAGGTCTGACGCGGCCGCTTCAAAGAACGAATGCAGAGAGTCCTGGATGCTCTCTGGCGCCGACTTTGCCAACGTCCTATGGCGAAAAGACATCCACCAAATAATTGGATTGCCTTTTGATGTCATGCTTAACCATGAAATGGAAACAAATGCTGTTGCCATCCTCGTAATGCGAGTGAAGAAAATGTGTGACTTGTGCTTAAAATGGATACATTGACAAAGTCAAGGAGTTGTTCCTATTCCAGTGTCATGATTTTGCCTTTTGGCATGAATTCGATCGATTTTCTTCTTCTTCCTCTCGCCTAACAAAATGCAGTTAGGTTCACCGAAGACCCCAAATTGTGCACAAGGTGTGCATTGTTGTTTGTTTGGATGTGCCCTGTGATTGAATACCGACCGGTCCTGCCTCTTCCCCAAAGTCAGCTGAGATTGGCGTCAGTGTGACAAGTAATATTGAAAATGGACGGATGGATTAGATGGTGACAGTGACGTGAAGTGCTACCTGGCATCCAGTGCCCGGGTCAAAACACAGAGGCAGCTTGTGACCGCTGAAGTTTCATTTCCTGAAGTTAAAAAAAAAAAAAAAAAGATATTAGATGATAGCATTACACATATGCAGGGAAAATATGTATCCCAGATAGCCTGGTATTGACTGGAAAGCACAAAAGTGAAAGGCAAGGTAGCAACAATGAGATGATATCAGGCTAAAAGCTTATTTCCACGCGGTTCTTACCAAAAAGAAAGAGCCTGCGTCTGACTAGGCCTGCAAGCTTACAAAAGAGGCTGAATGTGAGAGGAAAGAAAATGAAGCGAAAGAAGTGAAACTCAAGCACAAAAGAACAGATTCCCCCCAAAATAAAAAAATAAAATATAACATCTGCAAGCAGTGTGAATATGAAATAAAAATGTGATTTCATCGGGTTGACACATGCCTTGCAATCATTTCTTTTTCCCTTTTGGAGGCATGACTTCTGTTCAAGTCCGAGGAGTGCGACACAGACAAGAAATACAGCCGGTGGCCTCTCACATATTCTTCCAAAAGTGGAATTACAACCTGTCAAAGGGGTCCAGAAATGAAAATGTGTCATATTCTTGCCACAATCTTCAGTATTTCCCTTGACGCACATCCCTTAAATATTCACAAACATTTGCGCTTCATTACGTGAGAAAGACAGTTCTATAACTCGTGAAAACCAAATGTTTCTCATTCAACAAATCACTGACCAAGACCCATTTACGGCTGTGTGCGCGCGCGTGTGTCTGTTTGTCGTGGAGATGCGAGGCATGAATGTTCAAATATCTCTTTCCGTTTGCCGCTTTGGAGGCAGAACGGTGTGGGAAGCTTTAATCGATGTCATGATGGGAATCGACATGCCTGCACGGATTTCTGAGCTGGCTCAATAAATTACAAAGCCACAAAGGATTTTTCATGGTGTGTGTGTGTGTGTGTGTGTGTGTGTGTGTGTGTGTGTGTGTGTGTGTGTGTGTGTGTGTGTGCGTGCGCGCGTGTGTGTGTGTGTGTGCGTGTGTGTGTGTGTGTGTGTGTGTAGGGGGGGGAGAGGGAAACACATAGCAACCATTTAACAAGACTAATTAGCTGACCGAATTGCAAATCTTAACTAGCATGTCTGCATCAAAATGGTAAAGATCCCCTGAGAAACGGTCGGTCTTCATATGCAGATGAGCACACGCAAACCTTGAGGAAGAAATGAACAGGGTGCTGGCGTGACGCACTCTCGCCTTTAGAGATCTGTCCTCTGGCTTGCGTCACCTCTGGAAAAAAAAAAAGACAAATGAAATACAAAATGACAAAGGAAGTGACATTTCTACATCAGAAACACATTGGCTGTCCTATTCTGAACAGCGGAAGGAGGCATCAAATTTAAATTAGCCCAGGGCGGATCACAGACTGCGAAAATGTTAATGTTCACATCTCGGTAGCACATGTAGAAAAAAAATAATTACATCAGGTAGATGCTGTGGTGTCATCATATTTTACCAATACAACCGGAATTTGAGTCGGAACATGTCACTAATCTATTTAAGGTCATAAATCCCGTTGGATGATAAACACTCCTAGGCCATTATTATAAGGCCTTCTTGTGTCGCATGACCACATAGTCCTACGCTGTGTGTCGTTGGTATCACCAAAATGTTGTGTGTCGAGCTCATTACAAAACGTCTAGTCAATGACGCTCTTTCATATTGTAATCGGCAAACTAAAAGTGTTACCAAGTTCCGACATGTGCTCCTGAGCTTCCTCTGTATAAGACAGCAAACGCTGGAGTAGAGTGTGGCCGAAACACTGGGCTGTGGCTGGAAACTCCAGATCCGCATTCTTGCGATCCCTGCCGAAAGAAATGAAAACGGATTCAAGCGGCAAGCTGCGGAGAACGAACGGTCTCTCGCACTGATTATTTTTTTTTGGGCATGGATCCTGAAGACTTTTTCAAAATACGTGCTGTTGATGAAGATGACTGATGTGTGGAATTTCCAGAGGGCGCTATTGAGTTCCTTTTGGGAACACTAAAATAGAGTGAATGCCCGCATGTTCGACATTTGTTGATTGTTGGAGGGATCCTATCCGCCAGTATTCACTGAAAAAAAAAACATATTTCCTGCTCTTGTGGTCAGGCCAAAGCCACGTCTAACATAAAAATATATATCAAATATTTTTGGACCCATCGAGTCAGTAGCTAATGTAACGATGAACCAAGGGAAGGAGCTTTATTTAATCAGGCCATACCCTTGTCTAATATAAATAACTGCTTTGCCGCCATCTGGTGGCATCTACAGGCATTTACAAACCTTTTTGGGTGGGTTTTCTAATTGTCACCATACACGTCCTTGTTAAAATGATGAGTTTGTGTGCACATACAGGCGACTCATGCTCTATTCTATCTTTAGTTTCAGAAAATGTGAATGCCGCGAGATGCTGTCACCACTATGCTGAAAAAAATTTATGAGGACCACCGCATTCACATTCCGTTCTGAATGCTGGAATTTGCTCTGGCAGCCAGGAGCCGATTCTGCCCTCACCTCCACACCGTGTAGCCATTGAGGTGAAGGAACTTGAGCACATCCTGGGCCCTCTGCCGGAATTTACTCTTTTCCTTCGCAGTCAGGTTGTCAAAGGGCACGAGCACAGCATGCCCACGTGCCCCTGAGGAGACACAAGGGTTATATCCTTCGTTCATTTTGACGACCCTTTTTAGGACAATCTTCTAAATTGTGAAGACAACAAGAACAAATAAGAGCTCTCTTGCCAATCTACAAAAGCAGTTAGCAATCAATTTTTGAAGAACTGCATCTGGAAAGTTTTGTGTTAAGTTAAGAAAGAAAAAAAAAAAAACACCAGATACACGACTTTCGGCGACATGGTGTTTTTGTCAAAAGATGGCCGTGGTTGAGGGAAATAAACAGATGGCCGGTATTGTGTGCGTTTGGTAACGTGAAAATGCATCCGCTACCTGGAACTGCTGATAAACTAAGATTTCTAAACATTGTTCCACCAGCGATGCTATCGAAGAGACGGGGGACATTTATGCAGTCCGGTCACTATTAGGTCGTAGCTGTCAATCAAATTCAATCAATGTTTGAAAACTGGTTTTCATTGCCATTTTATACGTGCAGGCATTGTCCACAGACATATCTAGAATATCTGCTGTTATTCAACTTTAACAAAAGAAAGTTTTATTGGAAACTAAAGGTACAAATGAATGAGAATCTCTTGGGCAAAAAAGAAAAAAAAAAGTGAGCCTTTGAACAAACTTCTTCCATGGACTTATTAAAAGGCAAGATTTTGATGTTGGATGTTTGATTTCAGTCCATTGAACTCGGATCGCCCGCTGCTCCTCTGTCGTACGGAGATAACTTTATCTTTCAAGTTGTACCATTGGAGAACAAGAGCTCGCCTTGAGGGCAACGCTAAAATGATTCAGAGAAAATGCCCATGTTGCCCAGGGGAACACCGCCCAGCGACCAAACTGCGTCCCGTGTTCTTGTAACATTTAACACTATCAAAGGTAATTTAGCAGCACGGTGTTCGTGGTTAGCTCTCTTAATTCTGAGGTTAGGGCTTCTAAACTTCCAACCTTAGCTTCCTGTGTCTTGCTTGTCGCCCACACGTTTATCTGGACTAAATTGTCCGTAAAAGAAGTGTTCGTTTGTCTACATGTGTCTTGCGATGATTGATCCGTGGACTGATTCATATCATTAGTTGTACCTTTACTCTCTTGTTCAAGTTTCTTCCTCTTAGCCCAGGAATTGTGGTAGTTCTCGGCCAACTTTTCAGCCATAGCCTAAGGTAAAAAGGGACAAATGAAATCACAGCACAGATGCCGGCAAAGCAGTTTGAGAGAAATTAGTATTACTCACACACTGATCCCATGATAAGGTAATGCTGCCGGTGTCAAAGGGTTTAGGGCTGAAGGTCGACGCCCCTTCAAAAGACAACTGAGAGCAAGTAGAAAATGTGTGAATAACCTCGATTATTTGCTGAAGATTGGGACTGAGCCCCTGCCATGAACAACAAAAATTAATGAGTGACTGAAAAAGATTTGGAATTGCCGATTGATAGCCATCAAAGCCATTGACCGTGTCTGCAAAGTGACATGGGCAGGCGCCGTCTCGTGACCAAGTCGACATAACGTCACTACGCAATGTCACGCAACGCAAAGGACCATTTCCAAATTTTTTACCGTCTGCAAGTGATATTTTCCACATGAAGCCCACAACATATCAACTGTATTTTATGCTAATCTTATATAATCAACATGGCTGTTGATGAACTAGAAAAGAAATCCACTCCAATTATTAACAGCACATACCAGAGGTCGTGAGAAGGCAGTGAGGCGAGTTTCGGTGAATGTCTGCGTTCTTTTTGACACTCCATGTATTTATTTGTCATTATTTTAATGTAAAGATGCCAGGTTTTGTTTAATATTAGATGAATAGAAGGTTTATCTCACATGGGCATGTTCCCACTATCGGGAAATGATGCCAAAAACTGACAAAAATTCACTTCAAAGGGCAAACACTGACCTAGGTTAACCCAAGTCAATGCCAGAAAGGGAAACAACATGGCGTCCATAAATGACGTCAAATGGATTTAATCAATGCAGTGCGTTCAAACTTTTTTTTCCGAATAGCTTTGAATGCCACAAAATGGCAGCAAGCATTATTTTTATCCTCTTCAATAAGGCTTTGGCCTGACTGGGTGAGGCTCCGCCTCTCACTTCAACATAGTTCCGCTGTCCCAACATTTCGCTTTTGCCTGAGCACGACCAAAAGTGAGATTTTCGGAGGCAAATTCACAAATATGTCAGTGGCGTATTCAAGTACACTCACCTGACCGGACTGCGAGATTCTTCTCATGCAAGCGTGCAAGCCAAACGCGTCTCCTTCCCTGGAGCGCTCTATGGTCCACCCGAAGGCCAGCATACTTTTTATCGTCTCCTTAATGGCCCAGCGATATGCTTCTTTGTCCTGTTATGCCGAGGAAAGACCAACGAGGCTTGTGTGAAACTGAAATTTGTCAGCGTGGAAATCGCAAAATCTCAACTAACAGAACGGCGGCGATTCAAATAAGCAATAATACAAGAACAGAGGCTACGAGCTACCTTTTCAGCCAAAGCCCTGTAGGGCTTGAGGAGGGGATGAACCTTGCTGTTCTCACATAGCTGCTCCCCATGAACCCAGCCGTTGGCAAACTGGCCGACAAAACAAAGTTCAGATATGAATTATTACAAGCGCATGCGGACAATAGCACGAATGAATGCATTCCGAGCATGCGCAGTCTAATTTCTCAGCCGGGGGACAATGAAGGTTGAAGCTTCTCACCTTTTCCAGCGACCACTTCTCATGGGTGTGCTCGGCGTACTTGTTCACCACAAACTCCAGTCTCTCCGGCACGGACACGCTAAGGAAATTAATCATATTCACATATCTGAAGTGAGTCTTCGTCAACAACTTTGCCCTGCTAATGCACTTTATTCTGTTGACGTATATTAAAAAAAATAAATAAATAAAAAATGGTTCTTACGTACTTCGAGGTTTCTACAGGTTGCGGTTCAAAGTTCCCGTCCGTGTTTTTGTCCATTTGGTGCAGAGAGTGTGGGCCCAAATGGTCAGGGGGCAGGGCCTCAGCCATGGTGCCGAGGCATTGGACACAGAGTTTGGATAAGTCAGGTTCATATTGCTGTCGGACGCACATATTTTATGAAGACATAACAGATACAAACAATGTTGAATTGAAAATGGTCCATTAAACCATCTATACATTTTATTTTATCTGGGTATTTTCAAAAAACAAATAGTTTAAATAATTGAGGCAAAGTTTATGGACCAAAAAAGAAAAAAAAAAAAAACGGTGCCGAGGCATTGGACACAGAGTTTGGATAAGTCAGGTTCATATTGCTGTCGGACGCACATATTTTATGAAGACATAACAGATACAAACAATGTTGAATTGAAAATGGTCCATTAAACCATCTATACATTTTATTTTATCTGGGTATTTTCAAAAAACAAATAGTTTAAATAATTGAGGCAAAGTTTATGGACCAAAAAAGAAAAAAAAAAAAAAACCCCACATAATGGGTCACATTTTTCATAATGTGTCAGATTCACGGCAAGCGAGCAAGCAAGCTGGTGTTCCCTCATTAAAGCTCGCGCATGTAAACACAAAGCTAAAAATGATCAGTCTATGCAGAAAGAGAGAAGCAGGGACCAAACTGTGTATGATTCGATTCATAACTGACAGATTATAAAGAGAAACCAGTGTTGACGGTTGTGTTTCAATCAATTTTAATGTCCTCGGAAAACTTGACTTGTTTCAATCTGGTCAATTCAAAAGGTAAGAAAGTCAAATTATACCGACTCACTACAAACAGGGAAATATTGATATATATATAATATAGTAACTTTTTAATATATATTTTAGGTGGAACCATGTTGTGAGTTGTCAGCAGTCAAATAGCAGGGAATGCTCTCAAGTAGAAATCAGTCGTTCTCTCAAGACACTTGAACACATTTTCTTGCAGCCGTTTGAAGCGAGGCAGATTTGGGACAGGAACGTGCTCATGAGAGTCATTCTTTGATGTTCCCATGTTCTGACTGAGACAGCTCAGACAAATTTTCGAGGGTCCGGGGAGCCCTCAAGTCAAATATCATTTGGATGAATGTTGAATTGCCTTTACCTTCTTCGCCAAAGCCTTAAACACGCCCCAGAACAGCTTCAGAGATAAGTGCAGCTCCTCTTCAGAGGCCAGGCTGTGGTTTCCCTGCCTACCAGTTAAAGAGTAGTACTTCCATCTCTGCTCGAAATGACTGGTCAAAAGCTGGGGGTAGGGATGTGATCGTGAGTAATACATTTTCACATAAAATCAAAACCTGCGCTTGGTGCACTTACCTTGATTGGGATCTTGCTCTGCTCTGTGAGAGTGGGAACATCAAAGACAAGACGCTGCAGAAGAGGCTGCATCACAGCCGGCTGGAGTTTACTGAGAAGACGCAAGTGAACTAGCCTTAAATAAACATATTCTTAGAAGAATTTCTCATTCAAAAAAAATGCATGCATTAAGTAGGGAACATACTTCAAGGCTACATAAAACAGCGATGGGTCATTGATCATAGATTGGTCACTCCTCGATGAGTTTTAAGAAGAAAAATAAACGGTTAAACTGCGCGCATAAAATATCTTATTATTCTAATTTAACAGTAATAATAATTATTTTCATTGACTTAATGCAACAAATGTTACAAGAACTGATCATGAAAATTTTTGCTGCTTGGATTAAAGACCTGAGCAGGATGTGGCCCGCTAGCCGTACTTTGTTTGCCCAAACCTCATAGAAACACATTATGAATAAATAGAACATAAACGCAATAAAACACAAATAGTTTAAATAATTGAGGCAAAGTTTATGGACCAAAAAAGAAAAAAAAAAAAAAACCCCACATAATGGGTCACATTTTTCATAATGTGTCAGATTCACGGCAAGCGAGCAAGCAAGCTGGTGTTCCCTCATTAAAGCTCGCGCATGTAAACACAAAGCTAAAAATGATCAGTCTATGCAGAAAGAGAGAAGCAGGGACCAAACTGTGTATGATTCGATTCATAACTGACAGATTATAAAGAGAAACCAGTGTTGACGGTTGTGTTTCAATCAATTTTAATGTCCTCGGAAAACTTGACTTGTTTCAATCTGGTCAATTCAAAAGGTAAGAAAGTCAAATTATACCGACTCACTACAAACAGGGAAATATTGATATATATATAATATAGTAACTTTTTAATATATATTTTAGGTGGAACCATGTTGTGAGTTGTCAGCAGTCAAATAGCAGGGAATGCTCTCAAGTAGAAATCAGTCGTTCTCTCAAGACACTTGAACACATTTTCTTGCAGCCGTTTGAAGCGAGGCAGATTTGGGACAGGAACGTGCTCATGAGAGTCATTCTTTGATGTTCCCATGTTCTGACTGAGACAGCTCAGACAAATTTTCGAGGGTCCGGGGAGCCCTCAAGTCAAATATCATTTGGATGAATGTTGAATTGCCTTTACCTTCTTCGCCAAAGCCTTAAACACGCCCCAGAACAGCTTCAGAGATAAGTGCAGCTCCTCTTCAGAGGCCAGGCTGTGGTTTCCCTGCCTACCAGTTAAAGAGTAGTACTTCCATCTCTGCTCGAAATGACTGGTCAAAAGCTGGGGGTAGGGATGTGATCGTGAGTAATACATTTTCACATAAAATCAAAACCTGCGCTTGGTGCACTTACCTTGATTGGGATCTTGCTCTGCTCTGTGAGAGTGGGAACATCAAAGACAAGACGCTGCAGAAGAGGCTGCATCACAGCCGGCTGGAGTTTACTGAGAAGACGCAAGTGAACTAGCCTTAAATAAACATATTCTTAGAAGAATTTCTCATTCAAAAAAAATGCATGCATTAAGTAGGGAACATACTTCAAGGCTACATAAAACAGCGATGGGTCATTGATCATAGATTGGTCACTCCTCGATGAGTTTTAAGAAGAAAAATAAACGGTTAAACTGCGCGCATAAAATATCTTATTATTCTAATTTAACAGTAATAATAATTATTTTCATTGACTTAATGCAACAAATGTTACAAGAACTGATCATGAAAATTTTTGCTGCTTGGATTAAAGACCTGAGCAGGATGTGGCCCGCTAGCCGTACTTTGTTTGCCCAAACCTCATAGAAACACATTATGAATAAATAGAACATAAACGCAATAAAACAAAAACAAGAAAATAGATTGTCATACTTATCAATTACAGTGCCATATTTGAACAAAGTTCTAAAGAAGATCTTATGTACATTAGACTTGCTGTATGCAGCACATCCACTAGGCATGATGAATCACCGACTGATCATATCGTTAGGGAATGAGGAATCTAATTAAGAATTGCCATTAGCAAAATGTTGATCAAATGTATGATTTGGTAATTAGACAATGATATCCGAATCATGGCAAAACATTGTTAATGTACGAAATGCAAGCAGGAAAAAAAAAACAGTGCAGGCAGAGAGGGACAGCTGTTGGTTGTCATTTAGCTTTTCCTTCTTGCATTAATGTAGAGTTCCTTCTCCCCCTCAAAATGAATAAAAATACAAAAATGTGTGTGTGTGTGTGTGTGTGTGTGTGTGTGTGTGTGTGTGTGTGTGTGTGTGTGTGTGTGTGTGTGTGCGTGTGTGTGTGTGAGTATTGTACCTGCACACCGCCAACAAACAATCCTCAGTTGTGTTCCTCTGGGCTTTTGTCAAGCTTGAAGCCCTGGAGAGGCTGTAGATGGCCTGGATGAGAGAATCCAGAAGGGCGGCGTGGTCCTCCAAACCGCGGAGGAGGGCGGAACGCTTGGTGAGCAGCGGAAGCACAGCCGAGCACAAGTATCTGTTGAGGGCCAAGGCCATGTCGGTGGATCCAAAGTCTTCCTGCGATGAGAAAAAAAGCCGAGTTCGCCACCGTAGTGTGAAGCCAGGAAATGAGATCAGAAAATACCCATCCATCCATTTTCGATCGCGCCTGTCCTCATAAGTGTCGCGGGGGAGCTGGAGCCTGGCGCGTTTTGGTGCACACCCTTCTCTCCCTACTTATTCACTAACATAGTTAAAATTACAATTATTCGAAATCGTATTGGTATATTTTGATGCCATTTGTTTTTCCCCAATGTCATCATCACCCGCCCCAGTCATCTATGTTGATTAGTATGATTTGTCTGTCTCCCTGTTATCTGTTGTTTCTTGAGATCCACAAATACCAGGCCACTACTGTACGTCTGTATTCATATTCATAGAAATGCTTCGATAGTATGTCACCAGCCTGTGGTACTGCCCAAATAAGGACCCGTGTGGATATACTTTCATGTTAACATAGAAAACATTTGTAGCAGACTGCAAATTATGCTCTGCAAAATGTTACTTTGATATAACTGCAGCAATTCTACAGGCAATACATTCCACGTTTCGTAAAAAAAAAAAAAAAAAAGATGTTACTCTAAAAAGTCTGATACTTTAGCGAAATTGATGCCATGTCTAGAAAAGTTCATTTTTGAATTTGATGAAATAATACAAATGATCACCCCTAACTAAAAGACATTGTGCAATCATCAAATATGAGTAATTGGTGACAACGCCAACCTGTACTCGGACCAGCAAAAGTCGCAGAGCTCACCGTGTCGAGAGAGACGGCCATCTGAAGGTCGGACAGAAATCCATTTCGAAGGAGGCTGAGGAGAAAACTCTGCTTGTCTACGCCATAGACTCGGTCCACAAACAGAACCATCGCGGCCTTGTGGTCTGGGCAAAACACTGTCGATAAGTTGGGCTCAACCACGGAACCATCTGCAAAAGAAAATGACAGCTTCATTCATGGTGAGACCCAATCTGACTAAAATTGTCAAATTGAGTGATCCCACTCAACCTTTTGACAACGATGGGGCTTGAAACGAGATGCTAATGACTCCCTGGAGATCTTGGATGGGTACGAGCGACCTCAGAATGGCCCGCATGCGGACGGCTTCTCCTTTGCCTCTTTGAATCAACTGCAACATTTCAGTGAGATTGTGTCGGAAAGACAATATTTTTCAACTGCGTCGCCAAATACAAGTAGACAAGCCGTCAACGTCAGAGTGCCTCAGCGGAGGGAAACTGACTCCAGGTGGGCTTCCATCCTTCAGTAAATTGGGTAAAAGCATGTCAATCTTCCTTTCGAAGCAGCAGCGTACTTTCTCCGCAATGTCCAGTCGGCATCATTACTGGCAGCATCAGCGGATATCGATGAGCGGAAGGATTGGCAGCTCAAGTCTGAGGGGAAAAACACTCACTTGCATCTCCGGAGCGCAGCGCCCCAGCAGGTCGATGAGGGCCGAGTAAAAGGTCATGATGGCATGCCCCATATGGATAAGGTCATTCTCGCCATCCTGGACAGTATTTCTGTATCGGGAAATAATTAGTTAACTGCCAGCTTGTCTTTAATTGGATCACTGCAGATTTTGAGGAGGATTAAAGGCTTATCTCTAAATGCAGCCTTATTAATGATAATCGGGGATGCAGCTGCAGCATTCAAGGAGGGCATTTAGTAAGCAGATTTTGTTACTGTTTTAAAATACATGGTGGCAACCATTTCAGGGTGTACAATTTTCTTCCTGCTAAAAGTAAATCAAGATTTGACGGCGGATGATGGCACCAAGGTGCCACTAGATGGCAACGAAGCACCACAACAGCAAATAGGTGAGTTTTCACCCCCCCGCCCCCATGAAAAAAAAAGATCATAGGTGAGTGGCAAATCTCAACAATGCAAAGGAACATTGCCCAAGCTCAGCTGGGGTAGGCTCCAGTTTACCCACAAGCAAACACAAACAATACAGAAACAAACAGTGACTAACATGGTTGCGTTGGACTGGTAGGCCATGCAAGGTCCATCGATAGAGGAGTCCTCTGATATGTTTATGGCCTCTTTCATGGCCGCTAGGAGACCATGTCCACCGTCACCTCGCAGGGCAGGACCAAAACACTCAGGACGACGGATCAGCAACCTCAACACCAAGTAAGCGTTCTCCTCGACACTTTCACCTGCGCCCCAAGAGCACACAGACACATGACTGTACACAATGCTGCTTGAAAATTTATCCGCTATCAGAAAAGTTCACTGCAGATGACTCAAAATCGAAGAATTTGTGTTCAATGCTACTTGCTGATACAAGAACAACATGACACAGAGAGCTTAATAGCAACAGTAGAAAGTGTATCGGAAATACCATTGCAGAATACAGCAAAACGTAAAAAATCCAGGTAACGCTCGCCCTCCACAGGGTTCCATCCAATATCAGGGTAGCCTTGGGCCATGAGCAGTGAGCAGCTTTTCAGACCACAGCCGGCAAGGTAGTGCACCACCTGTAATGAGAAAACTTTGTAGCTGCATCTCAAGTTTTGAATGAGGTCCAGGATTGGCGCATCCACTGTCAACATCCAGCGGCGACGTACCTGAGGCTCGCTCGCAAATGAAATTAAAATAATAATAATAATAGAGCAAGTGGCGGCGAGTAACTTGGCAAACTTGTAAATTAATCAAGGTAGCGCCGTATTCCAAAAGCAAACATGTATTCATGCCCTCAACTCACCTTCTCCAGTTCAGGCTCCCTCAAAGCGAGGGCCAGCTCGTTATTGTCCATGACTGAGGCTGCTGCCACATCCAGAGGAGTGGCCCCGCGCATTGATGGTGAAGCTAAGGAGGGCGGGAAGACAACATCAACAACAACAACAAAAATCACTGACTCGTGAATATGATGTCTGGTCATTAAAATTTCATGAGAACACTCCGAGGGGCTGAAATTTATGCATACAAAGGACGAATAACCGAGAGACTGTTAAATTGAAACCCCTCCCCCAGAGGGAAGTGTTGACATAGGACATTACCGAGTCCAACGCTGCTGTTTTCTAGTAGGTAGCTGAGGTGGTCAAAAAGGGCTCTCTGATTGAGTCGGCTTATGCGGCAAAAATAACAAAGGAATCGACAGCAGCTGGCCACCATCTTCGGAAAGGAAATCTCCTTGCAGAAGCAAACCGTTGCATGAAATACACAAGCATGGCGTCAATTCAAAGTGGAGTCCGAGTGTAATCGAAAAACACAAATTGCCCGTCGGCTTCACAAGACTGACCTTGGATTCTCTCTCCCCAAGAACATTGACCATCACCTCCATGACTGTCTCATGCATGCCCAACGCCCTCATTAGGTTGGGGTGCTGGTAGAAAACCTTATTGTTCATGATGTCTCTGTCCCAGAGACAGAAAAAAAAAAAAATATTGTACCTGCACACCGCCAACAAACAATCCTCAGTTGTGTTCCTCTGGGCTTTTGTCAAGCTTGAAGCCCTGGAGAGGCTGTAGATGGCCTGGATGAGAGAATCCAGAAGGGCGGCGTGGTCCTCCAAACCGCGGAGGAGGGCGGAACGCTTGGTGAGCAGCGGAAGCACAGCCGAGCACAAGTATCTGTTGAGGGCCAAGGCCATGTCGGTGGATCCAAAGTCTTCCTGCGATGAGAAAAAAAGCCGAGTTCGCCACCGTAGTGTGAAGCCAGGAAATGAGATCAGAAAATACCCATCCATCCATTTTCGATCGCGCCTGTCCTCATAAGTGTCGCGGGGGAGCTGGAGCCTGGCGCGTTTTGGTGCACACCCTTCTCTCCCTACTTATTCACTAACATAGTTAAAATTACAATTATTCGAAATCGTATTGGTATATTTTGATGCCATTTGTTTTTCCCCAATGTCATCATCACCCGCCCCAGTCATCTATGTTGATTAGTATGATTTGTCTGTCTCCCTGTTATCTGTTGTTTCTTGAGATCCACAAATACCAGGCCACTACTGTACGTCTGTATTCATATTCATAGAAATGCTTCGATAGTATGTCACCAGCCTGTGGTACTGCCCAAATAAGGACCCGTGTGGATATACTTTCATGTTAACATAGAAAACATTTGTAGCAGACTGCAAATTATGCTCTGCAAAATGTTACTTTGATATAACTGCAGCAATTCTACAGGCAATACATTCCACGTTTCGTAAAAAAAAAAAAAAAAAAAGATGTTACTCTAAAAAGTCTGATACTTTAGCGAAATTGATGCCATGTCTAGAAAAGTTCATTTTTGAATTTGATGAAATAATACAAATGATCACCCCTAACTAAAAGACATTGTGCAATCATCAAATATGAGTAATTGGTGACAACGCCAACCTGTACTCGGACCAGCAAAAGTCGCAGAGCTCACCGTGTCGAGAGAGACGGCCATCTGAAGGTCGGACAGAAATCCATTTCGAAGGAGGCTGAGGAGAAAACTCTGCTTGTCTACGCCATAGACTCGGTCCACAAACAGAACCATCGCGGCCTTGTGGTCTGGGCAAAACACTGTCGATAAGTTGGGCTCAACCACGGAACCATCTGCAAAAGAAAATGACAGCTTCATTCATGGTGAGACCCAATCTGACTAAAATTGTCAAATTGAGTGATCCCACTCAACCTTTTGACAACGATGGGGCTTGAAACGAGATGCTAATGACTCCCTGGAGATCTTGGATGGGTACGAGCGACCTCAGAATGGCCCGCATGCGGACGGCTTCTCCTTTGCCTCTTTGAATCAACTGCAACATTTCAGTGAGATTGTGTCGGAAAGACAATATTTTTCAACTGCGTCGCCAAATACAAGTAGACAAGCCGTCAACGTCAGAGTGCCTCAGCGGAGGGAAACTGACTCCAGGTGGGCTTCCATCCTTCAGTAAATTGGGTAAAAGCATGTCAATCTTCCTTTCGAAGCAGCAGCGTACTTTCTCCGCAATGTCCAGTCGGCATCATTACTGGCAGCATCAGCGGATATCGATGAGCGGAAGGATTGGCAGCTCAAGTCTGAGGGGAAAAACACTCACTTGCATCTCCGGAGCGCAGCGCCCCAGCAGGTCGATGAGGGCCGAGTAAAAGGTCATGATGGCATGCCCCATATGGATAAGGTCATTCTCGCCATCCTGGACAGTATTTCTGTATCGGGAAATAATTAGTTAACTGCCAGCTTGTCTTTAATTGGATCACTGCAGATTTTGAGGAGGATTAAAGGCTTATCTCTAAATGCAGCCTTATTAATGATAATCGGGGATGCAGCTGCAGCATTCAAGGAGGGCATTTAGTAAGCAGATTTTGTTACTGTTTTAAAATACATGGTGGCAACCATTTCAGGGTGTACAATTTTCTTCCTGCTAAAAGTAAATCAAGATTTGACGGCGGATGATGGCACCAAGGTGCCACTAGATGGCAACGAAGCACCACAACAGCAAATAGGTGAGTTTTCACCCCCCCGCCCCCATGAAAAAAAAAGATCATAGGTGAGTGGCAAATCTCAACAATGCAAAGGAACATTGCCCAAGCTCAGCTGGGGTAGGCTCCAGTTTACCCACAAGCAAACACAAACAATACAGAAACAAACAGTGACTAACATGGTTGCGTTGGACTGGTAGGCCATGCAAGGTCCATCGATAGAGGAGTCCTCTGATATGTTTATGGCCTCTTTCATGGCCGCTAGGAGACCATGTCCACCGTCACCTCGCAGGGCAGGACCAAAACACTCAGGACGACGGATCAGCAACCTCAACACCAAGTAAGCGTTCTCCTCGACACTTTCACCTGCGCCCCAAGAGCACACAGACACATGACTGTACACAATGCTGCTTGAAAATTTATCCGCTATCAGAAAAGTTCACTGCAGATGACTCAAAATCGAAGAATTTGTGTTCAATGCTACTTGCTGATACAAGAACAACATGACACAGAGAGCTTAATAGCAACAGTAGAAAGTGTATCGGAAATACCATTGCAGAATACAGCAAAACGTAAAAAATCCAGGTAACGCTCGCCCTCCACAGGGTTCCATCCAATATCAGGGTAGCCTTGGGCCATGAGCAGTGAGCAGCTTTTCAGACCACAGCCGGCAAGGTAGTGCACCACCTGTAATGAGAAAACTTTGTAGCTGCATCTCAAGTTTTGAATGAGGTCCAGGATTGGCGCATCCACTGTCAACATCCAGCGGCGACGTACCTGAGGCTCGCTCGCAAATGAAATTAAAATAATAATAATAATAGAGCAAGTGGCGGCGAGTAACTTGGCAAACTTGTAAATTAATCAAGGTAGCGCCGTATTCCAAAAGCAAACATGTATTCATGCCCTCAACTCACCTTCTCCAGTTCAGGCTCCCTCAAAGCGAGGGCCAGCTCGTTATTGTCCATGACTGAGGCTGCTGCCACATCCAGCGGTGCCAGGTAACGCTCGCCCTCCACAGGGTTCCATCCAATATCAGGGTAGCCTTGGGCCATGAGCAGTGAGCAGCTTTTCAGACCACAGCCGGCAAGGTAGTGCACCACCTGTAATGAGAAAACTTTGTAGCTGCATCTCAAGTTTTGAATGAGGTCCAGGATTGGCGCATCCACTGTCAACATCCAGCGGCGACGTACCTGAGGCTCGCTCGCAAATGAAATTAAAATAATAATAATAATAGAGCAAGTGGCGGCGAGTAACTTGGCAAACTTGTAAATTAATCAAGGTAGCGCCGTATTCCAAAAGCAAACATGTATTCATGCCCTCAACTCACCTTCTCCAGTTCAGGCTCCCTCAAAGCGAGGGCCAGCTCGTTATTGTCCATGACTGAGGCTGCTGCCACATCCAGAGGAGTGGCCCCGCGCATTGATGGTGAAGCTAAGGAGGGCGGGAAGACAACATCAACAACAACAACAAAAATCACTGACTCGTGAATATGATGTCTGGTCATTAAAATTTCATGAGAACACTCCGAGGGGCTGAAATTTATGCATACAAAGGACGAATAACCGAGAGACTGTTAAATTGAAACCCCTCCCCCAGAGGGAAGTGTTGACATAGGACATTACCGAGTCCAACGCTGCTGTTTTCTAGTAGGTAGCTGAGGTGGTCAAAAAGGGCTCTCTGATTGAGTCGGCTTATGCGGCAAAAATAACAAAGGAATCGACAGCAGCTGGCCACCATCTTCGGAAAGGAAATCTCCTTGCAGAAGCAAACCGTTGCATGAAATACACAAGCATGGCGTCAATTCAAAGTGGAGTCCGAGTGTAATCGAAAAACACAAATTGCCCGTCGGCTTCACAAGACTGACCTTGGATTCTCTCTCCCCAAGAACATTGACCATCACCTCCATGACTGTCTCATGCATGCCCAACGCCCTCATTAGGTTGGGGTGCTGGTAGAAAACCTTATTGTTCATGATGTCTCTGTCCCAGAGACAGAAAAAAAAAAAAATCACAGTCCAGAATTGTGTTTGAAATCCATATACGAAAACCATAATCTACCCTTACCCTAGTCTTCTGATCATCAGTTTTTCCTCTTCATTCCCCATACGAACGCTAAGTAAGGAGCGGATTTGGCCCAGAGAGGACAGCAGCGTCATGGTGTCCTCTACGGAAGCTTGGCTAATTGTGTAGGCTTTGGAAAGAGGGGAGGCCATTTGGCCGCCGAGGCCCTGGTACTGGCGGTGCAGCAACGAGAAGACGGCCCTGACCAGGGTGGGATCCTCCATCTCGGTCTCTTGTGTCCAGCGCAGCATTGTTTCCGAGATCAACAACTTGAGGGACTCTGAAGGGTAGAAAGCGGGGATAGGAAATCAAACCCCTCTGTTCTTTTCTGAAAGTACTGCTTTGGTGTTATCTGGTGGCGTATTGGTGCCAAGAGAATAATTTGAGGTAAGTTGAGGAACTTCATTTAGTAGCACTTTGCCACCTTCTTGTGGCATCTAGAGGCAATGACAAATCCCTTTTTGGGGGTCATCAATAAGGATTTTGGATAATTGCGGCAGGGCTGAGATCCTCCATATGACAATGTGGGATTGCTGTTGTAGTTTGTTTGTGCAGTTCCAAAATATGCAATGTATCCCACAGGAAAACCACAGCGATCACGATTTTCCTCTTGATTACTTGTTCTGCTGAAGGGTGGCGTATTATGGAAAATTCACTTTTTTATTTCTTGTTAGAATTGTTGTGTCTGTGGAGTGCCGGTTTGCCCATCAAGTGTGAAATGAAACAACCATGTAAGTCTTTTTTTGGGTTTGTTTTCTGCCACTTTCTGAAAATATGTCTGCACATCTGCCCCACATAACAGTTCTGCTAACTTCCACACCCACACTAAGTTTCTCAGACCATCACATGATCAACTAGGCTGGGTGAAGATCCAGAGCCACTTTCAAAGTGACCCCTCTCTTAATGTTTCGTGTTGGGCCTACATTTGTAACAATAAATAACAACCTTAGTCCTGTACATGTTTTTGTACTTACTGGGACTCAGTGGTCCATTATCCTCCCCTCGTGTGGTTGTCCACTTTATTCCGAGAACTCTCGCTCCCAGGCTCAAAAGTTGATCCTTTACTAACATCTCACCGGGATCACCCTCTTCCGAGGCAGCGTCCAATTCAATGCCTGCTCAAAAGCAGTAAAATAAAATGAAGCTCACCGGCAGATAATCACAGTAAGCGCCTTCTCGGAGCTTCTTCAGGGCTCACTGAGTTTTACAGACTCAGTGAGGATGAACAATAATGCGGCGGAGTGGTAACGGAGAACTGACCGCAGTGGGCAGTGAGCAGCTGGTGAAAGTCTTGCAGGAGCTGTTGGGTTTCCACTGGACACGGACTGTTCCCCTGCCGGTCGCCATCTCTGAAGCTCAGAAGCATGTTGATCTGAGGCAAAAGGAGAAAAGGTTACAAGGAGAAAGAAGCACAGTGTGATTAATTTGTCAAAACATTGTGTAGATTAAAAAAAAAAAAATCAAAAAGTTACATTTTGAGGATTTATTACACTTTCATTTTTAATTAAGAAAAATAGAATAACAAATGGGGACAACTCTCAAAGTGGACAGTACAGGCAACAATAAACCAGCAATTAAATGACAACTAGTAAGAGTAATGATCTTTAAAAAAAATTAAAAGAGTCATCAGATCAAATGAGCAGAGCAAAGCTTTTCGATAAAGGAAGCTTTTCAATATATAATGTGCTAACTTTCAGCATTTTAACTTTTTGATGGGGACCTTGTTTAATTTGTTTTTTACAATATCTAATGGGCCAATAAAAACATGCAGTGGGCCACAAATGGAACAACAGCCTGAATTTGGACACCCTAGTTGAATCTATAATGTAGGCGACTATAAACATCTTTCGAGGTGGCGCCCATTACTTGCAAAGGAATCATTTTAATCCGACTGGTGAGTTCAAACAACTGAATGGAACCTGCTCTTGCGGAGGTGAGCGGAACTCTTTGGTCTTGCGGGCTGTGAGGGCGGCGGACATGTTGAGCGCCTGCATGACTTGCTTGTAGCGGAAGTGCTGGTTCTCCTGCAGTTGCCCGACAAAGTTTTCCGAGAAGGCGACCACAGCTTCGACCCTGTGGCGCGCCTGCATGTCGCACAGGTAGGTCAGCACGTTGCACAGCTGAAGAAATCGAGAGAGAAATATATTGCTTGGCTTGTTTGTCCTAATGCATAATGAAATGTAACATTTACCTCACACACTCATGAAAAAAAAATCCCAAACGCACAAAAAAAAAAAAAAAAAAAAAGGAATTTTTTTTTTCTATATGAGCCATTCCACTCCGTGCGTTCACCTCAAGTTTGACCGGTTCTGGAAGTTTCATTTGCAGCAGTCCTTGTTTGCGTTCATTTTCTTTCTCCTCCTCCTCCATTTCCACCTCTGTGGCGAAGACTCCGGGTTCTATTAGTTTGAGAACTTTAGCCAGATCCTCATCAGTCAGTACCCCCACCACCAAAAGAGTGTGGAACAACTTAAGAAGGGGAACCAGCAGAAGCTCCATACTGCCACCTACAGGGTCCCTGACACCCTGATGCACAGCCCACACTGCTGCAGTAAGCATCTCCACGGTCAGGCTCTTCAGGATATCCAGAGGGATTTCAGGACTGTCACCGCTAGTTACTTCCCGTCCCATCACATCAGTGTTGACGAAACAAGGCCTGGAGAACCGCATTTGTGGTTTCAGGGAAGTGCTTCCGCTAATACTCGGGATGCATAGAGGAAGTGGACATTTTCGCCCATTGTCGCCATTTATTGGATAAAGGGTGATGTCTCTGGTTTGGTCTGACATAGGGACGATGTATTCATGGTTCATCATGAGACGTGCTGCGGCATGAGTGCTGAGGTGAACCTTTAAAAAAAAAATTTAAATCCATCTGAGAAACCACTGGTTCCATATTGAAAGATGAGATGAAGCATGAGATCACCTGAACAAGAAGCTGATAAAAGGCAGAGCGGAGTGAGCCAGGCAAGTGGTGATTCTGAATGGCGTGAAGGAACTGGGACTGGTCCACATGGCTGCAGATGGCGTGGCACACTTTTGCGTTGCCCAGGGCACATAAAGCACAGTAAAGGAGGAGGGTGTGGTACTCAAAGGTCAAGATGTCATCCAGCTCGGACAGCTCCAAAATGTCGATGCACCTGTGTTAGAAAAAGAAAGCATGATGACATCATTGGCGTGCTGGTTAAGGTTGAGTGATATGAACTTAAAACAAAACCAATCAATCAAAACATTTGTTTAAACAGAAAATAAAAGTCTCTTTCTCAATCACCATTTTTTTTCAATAAAAAGAAAAAGCTAATTTTTCAAAATGTAGCTTTTTGGGGGGTTTTTTGTTTGTTTGTTTTTTGCCATATATCCAAAAACCAAACACAGGCTTTTAAACAGTTTCCTATTCAAGCATTAACTGTATCAACTTCCATAGAAATAACAGATTTTTATTTTTTGGGGACAATGTAAAATAAAAGTGCTATCTCTTAGAGAAAACCGCTCTTTAAATACAATGCTTAATATGTTTTAGTGAGGCATATGAAATATTCAACTGTGACATCAATAAATTAACAAAAACACGAGCTTTGTGATTCATATGTAACAAACTCACTGAACATACAACATACAAAATTAACATGGGTAGCTGCCTGAAAATGTCAACAAAATCCTTTAAAAAGCACGTTAACAAAAAAAAGTATAAATGACTGCTTTTGCAACGTATCACCAGGGGCACCACGTCCAGCAGCTCCGTGGCTGCCTCTCTTAGCAGGAGTTTTCAGGCTGCCTTCCGTGTTCTCCCGGGTTGAATGCAGAGCAACGTTTGCTGCTGCATGTCTCCGTTTCATAAGCTGAACTAGTTCGGAGGACCGACTCCCTTTGGTTGCAACAGTCTTTGAACATACTTTGGAGCGGACTGTTTTTTTTGTTCATTGTCCGACGCTGGAAGGATGAAACCAATTTCAAAAGACTGAAAAGAAACAAAAAAAAAGCTGTGCCTTTTTGAATAACGTGCAAGCAGAGACGCTCTTTGAACTAGAGACGCCGCTAGCTAAGACGATTAAAAAATATAGAACAGTCTTGACTCAAACAAAACCCAATTGAATCAATTATCGATACGTTGATTAATCGTCCGGTCCAACAGCAGTCAAATTGAATTGTGTGTTTTCCAGAGCCCGGTCAGACCTGCTTTCATCAGGGATTTGGAGGGCCATGACTTGACGCGGCCCAAGGCAATGGACTCTCCATCCGTGACGCTCATCAGGACGGTCCACCATCACCTTCAGAGATCTGTCAGGCACTCGTGTCCACGAGACCGGGCACAGATGCTGTACTTGAAACCTGGGCGGGCAATGAGGTGCCGAAGTCGTTCTCAGGCTGCGAATCAAGCCGGCTGACAGCGGCATCACGTTCTAGGTGGCCAGGCAGAGAAATGAAAAAAAATTGCGTTTTGCATGTGGCAAAACATGAAAGTAAATTGTAGCTGTGACAATGGCAGCATGAAAGGATGGAATGCAATATCTTCATTGCTGAACCGGCTGCTTTTTTTTTTTTTTAAACAGAATTTCTGACAAGCAACAACGTGGTTTACCTTAATGCGTCCCAGTTCAAATTGAAACATGTTGCTGGTGGTGGGCTTGACGAAAACAGCGGGATACAGCTTTGTGTTGGCCTCCACCTGATTCATCCACAAAATGAAACAACATTTTACTCACGATGATTACTTGAAATATGCAGCAACGACATATCCGAATATAACTCCAAATACATCTTAGGAGTCCCAAAATTGTTTTGCTGTGCGGCGTACTTGGTAGAAGGTGGACATCTCCACGCCACTGGAGGTAAACGTTAGCAGCCCAGCGGCTGTGTCAATCAAGCAACCAATTTCCAAGCCGGCACTCCTTCGGCTCCGAGACAAACCTGTCGCCTCTCCGGCGCAGACCATGTAACAGTTACTCCTCTTCACGCTGTGGGTGACGAGAGCGCTGTTATTACAAGGCAGTCGCTTGCTAAGTTTGATTGAAAGGGGAAAACGGTGAAAATGGCAGCCCACTGATTAAAATTTACCGCGTTTCAAAAGTTGGCCGCAAAACACTAACCTCTCTTGGACTTTGCCACTATCGTCTCCGAGGGTGACCGTCACTGTGAGGTTATCGTCGCTGTCAAACGGCATGTCATTTTGATGGAAATCAGGGGTGACCCAGCCCACCCACACGTTGAAAGGCTCCTGGTTTGGAAGAATTCTCACCGAGTAGTAATACTGAAGGAGAAAATCACTTGGTTTAATTGTCGGGAAAAAAAAAGTCAAAGGCAGTTTCAAAAATGATCATAACTGCTTCAATACGCATCCCACGTAGTTTTGGATCCAAGATTGCAAATTGCTAATTTGTAGAAATGTGTCATTTCCCTGCAAGAATAGTAATCCTACTGATTGTTGCGAGATGAGACGATTGAGGTCTTACTCGGGTGGTCTGAGTGAGGTGATCAGCATTATCTTTGTCAACTAGGACGTCCTCGAGGAGCCGAGCGGAGGAGTTGCTGCTGACCAGGTCTGGTTTGGTTCGCTTCAGCATAAACCTTCAAAGAACAGCTTCAACTGTATCATGCTTTTTTTTTTTTGTAAACATCAATGAAATTAATCACCACGTCCCTGCTTTTATGCTTCCAAATATCAGGTGACCGCAACACGTCGCCAATGATTCGTGTTTTCTCCACAGCCTACCGTTGCTTCAGTCGTGACGTTTTGTCTTGACCGTGATCCTTGTACTCAAGCTCATCTCTTGAGCTAGCGAAGCCGCGGGCTGACTTCATCAGCACTTCAAAGTCAGAGTCCATCTCCTCCTGCTCTTTCCTTCCTAAGAGGACCACATGAATTAATTGCGGCAAGGCCCCCGGGGAGCATAAGCAGAGAGCTTCTTCCAAGGTCGTGAGGTAATGAAGAGCAAATAATCAAATGCGGGTATCTGGAATAAGTCAAAGAACACTTTGACGAACTGTCCGTCCATCCATTTTCTATGCTGTTGATCCTCTACGTGTAATTTGTTTCTAATTTGAGAATTCTATTTTATGATACGATCATGTGACACCAAACCTGGAGAAAAAGAGCTGGACGCCACGGGCAGCGCGCCCCCCACTGGGCTGCTGAGGACAGCGGCGCACTGGATGGCCATGCTGAGACGGTAAAAGCCAATTTCGCTGCTTTCCCCGTGGCGTGCCGACAACCGTCGTGAGACCCTCAGGCTCGATAAGGAATCATTTGAGCCAATGACTCTATTGACCTTGAATGAGATTCAAAGAGGATAAAGAGGGTCAGTCTTGTCAACATACCAGTGCCGAGAACAACACAGGCTCCCGCGGAGGCCTGTCGAAACGTGGGTCATCTTAAAGTGGACACAGTATGGAAATTTGATTTTTGAAAGACTAGGATACACTTAGCTGGGTCTCTGGAATCCCTGCCCATCCATCAAGTATGAAATGAAACAACCAAGTTAATCGGTTGTTGCTATCTGCCTAATGTAAAAAATTCTGTTATTTTATACAACTGCCCCTAACAGAGTTTTTCCACCCGTGGTATTAGGCTTTGCATACGCGCTAAAAAAAAAAAAAAACAAACAACAGTCTAGAAGCTGTACATACAAACCTGAGAGATGGGATCATCGCACAGTATGGATTTAAACTGAGCCTGTTTCCAACTCATCCACAGGGAAGGATCTCGAGCCATATTGAAAGCAAAAGGCTCATAACCCTCCTGCAGACCGCATGCACTCAAGTACTGCAGGGAGCCCTCCCGGCGGCCGAGGTTCAGCCTCACCACCTGGTTCACGCCCACACTGACCACGGGGAGCAGGCCTAAAATGTCAGCAAGAAAAAAAAATTGAATCACACATTTCCAAGCCCGATGGGTCATAACAATTCGGCGCAAAAATAAAAAAACACCATCTCTGATGTCAAAGTTCTTCGCAGCCAGCTCCGATCCTTGGTCATTAAACAGCAACTCTCCATTGAGCGTGACCATCATGGTGCTTTCAGTCATGTCCAGCAAGCAACCCACCACATCCGCCTGCTGCCAGCAACGTCCCAGAGGTTCCCCACCCTGATGGTACCACCGAGACTGTAAGAATCAGGAAAGATGGGGGCGGCTGTGCGTCAGTCACGTCAAGAAACAACATGAGTCATTGATATTTTTAGTGATCATGAAACAATACCCCCACGGCACTTTAAGACCTCAAAAGAATGATCACCTCAAATCCATCAAACACAAACGCCTGGTCGTCCGAGCCCAGCTCTTTCTCAGGGGTGCAGCCAGGCCTGGCCCAGCCAACTCTCACTTTCCCGGCAGTGACTAGTTCGCATTCAAAGTACCACTTCCCCCGAGTCACGGCGAAAGATTTATCTGCTCGGAACACTCTGCACTTTTCACTAGAGAAGAAGCAGCCGTTTGATAACATGACTGCAAGAAGTCAAGACAAAAGGAAAAGTTAGATACAGGGCATTTGGCGAGAGAATCGTGACAATGTCAAAAAAAGCAGACATGCAGACATTTGGAAACAATCTGCTTATTGCTGTACCATTGATAAACTATGATCTAATCTGGGAGCAAGAGCTTTGAGACCTACTATTTTCCTGGTGGAGGGTTTCTAAACTGTAACCGTAAGCCAGCAGGGTGCAAACTGCCTCCTTGACTCGCTTTTGTCCCATCTTTCTACTCCTCTCATCAAGCAGGCTGTAGGGCACAAGGTCCGGGCTTCGCTTTGATTTCCCATCCTAAATTTAAAGGTATTGCCAGAGAACACCGGTGCTGTGAAAATGCGATTACGAATGCACACAGATGTTCAAATGTGATTCTCTCTTTCCCAACACGAGGCACAACGCAAACCTGTTGAGCGCCGTAAGTCCATCCCTGCTTGATACGCTCTCTGGCCCAAACGTTGTGCTCATTCTCTGCCAGCAAGTTGACCGCTTCCTCATGGGCGGCGCTTAGAAAAACATGGCTCATATCTATCGGAGCCGGTCTGTAGCCACCTGGCTGCTCATACCTGACACGTTGGAGACCACAGATTACGAAAAAGCAGTGCTATGCGCTTTTATTGAGTCAACACATATTTTACATGAGTGATGGGGAATAACTGCTTTGGAGAAAAAAAACAAGGAGTAACATTAAAACCTCGGAGCTTGAATGAACCGTACCTGTTGGAGACTCGCATGAAGTGGACGCCCTCCTCTGTACATTCGTCTTTTAAGTCAATGCGGAAACCGAGAGCAAGAAGAGTCCTTTGGAAAATGAAGGAAAATGTGTATATAGATTGATGTTTGCATATTTCTATGAATCAAGAATGTATATGAACATGACTAGGGGGTGACAGAACCCACCTTAATATGTCCTGGGCCGTTTGGACATTCTGGTTCCGCTCCTGATCGGGCAGCTTGGAGAACTCCACCAGACAGGGATCCAGTAGCTTCCCTTCGTCTCGCTCCTGTGTTTGATGAAAAATCGTGTAATCGTTTCACATTGGAAAAAAAAACTAATGCGAGTAAGGCATTATTTCCTTTTGATGAATGCAATTTAGCTCAAGGAATTTTAGTCGTGTGCCTCCTTCTTACATTTCCTTGAGACCATCCAAGACCAACCCTTTCCATTACCCAGAGTTCATGGATGTTCTCAGCGATTTTATCTCGGATATCCTCAAATTGCAGAGGTAATTCCACCTATTAAGGCAACACACAGAGGGTGAAAAAAATATCATTCTGTAGTACTATATTGTGTAATTTCATATGAGATGTGTATTAAAAAAAAAAAAAAAAACAAAAACACTCAATTGAATGTTAAACTTTAAGTTTGATGTAAGCTGTACATTACCGATTACTTTTTAAAAGGTGAAGAAAGAACTGTACCAGCAACAAAAGGGCATTTTGTGTATTAGATTATGCATGAGCACAGTCAATAGTGCGCAGCGTGCGCGTTTGGAGGGAACTAAATAAAAATGCACCAACTGGAAAGCTGATTAGGGCGTGAAAGGAAAACATGTCGCGGCGCAGGCAGTGTGCATATTGAAATCTGTGAGGCTTTGTGAAATCACTTGTAAAATCTCGATCCAAGTGAATTGCTTGCTGGAATTTTGGTGTATAAATATTTTCTTTTTCAACATTTTCTGGAACACACTGTACGGTACATTGTAAAATAGCTATAAATGCCTCTGCAGAACTTTACCTTGCTGATGTCTACTGGCGAGGGAGTGAAAGTAAGTGGACCGCTGGGCTCAAACGGGCCAATAAGCTCCCGTTTCCCATCTTCATGTTCCAAGAGGTACTTATGGCACCGTTCTACCTCCAGCTTAACATTCGGGAGGAGAGCCTCAGAACACGGCACAAAACCGTGCGGGGGAAGAAATCTAAACTCTCCTTGTTCTCCTCCAAACAAAAACCGAACCCTTGTTGACACAAAGAAAATGATTTAAATGTCATATTGGGAAAGTCTCAATGAAAAGATGCACAACAATACTAACTTGACGCCGGGTGAGAAGCTGACAACGGGATGAAGAAGTCCATCGACGCAGAAGTTTTCTAGCATGCCCTGCACAGGAAGACCGTTGACCCGAAATGAGATGCAGGGTGCGCTGAGGTCCAGGCAGCAGCTGACTACATCTTCGTCGGTCAACAGGTGAGGGTAGGGAGAGCGCACTCTGCGGCCCACGCAACCTGAATGCAGAGGAGACAGCGTCGGCATTATTCATAGGACGCAGTAGAGCAAAGCTTGAGGCCGAGTCCTACCACGATAAGCCAAGTGTTTGATGCGCCTAAAATGTCAATAATTGCATTTAGAAATAGTATTGACTTGTAGCGAAACCACCGAAATTGTGATCCCAAAACTATTTTAATCTAATTCCAAACTCATCGTAAAACGTTGCGTTGAAAAATATAAGGTGATTTGATCAAGACGTACTGTTAACTATGAATGACTATGATCCCACCTGACCATAAGTGAAGCCCGTCAAAGCCAAAGGAGCAGAGGTCATCTCCCACGCCGTTGCCCCCCCAGCCGTCCCCTCCGGTGGGCCTGGGCTGGTAGCCGTCGGTGAGAGCCCAGCCGACTCGCAGGTGCGTGGGCTCCGCCGTGAGGAAGGGATCGATGTGATCCACGACCAGCTCGTAGTACCACCGGCGGGGCTGCGCCGAATCTTCCCCCAGAGATAGGAAGACGTTGGGCCTCACACTTGGGGGTTCATGAGCAGATGATTGGATGTGAATAATCGCTCACATTTATTCAGCATGTTTTCTATTATAATAAAGCCTATCCTTTCTCAAGAGGACTTTGAAACAGTAATTCATGCTTTCGTCACATCTCGGCTGGATTACTGTGACGCACTTTACTTTACGGAGTCAACCAATCCTCCATGAGGCGTCTCCAGTTGGTCCAGAATACTGCTGCTGGCCTCTTGACTGGTACTCGTATGAGAGAGCACGTAACTCCTACTCTGGCATCCCTTCACTGGCTCCCTATACATTTTAGAGTTCTTTTCAAGATCCAGTTATTTGTTTTCAAATCTTTAAATGTGGGTCCTTGACATTCATTATATATGAACGCATCCATTCAACTGCAAACTCCGAAACACAGTGAATGCCCATCAGATACCCCAACTTGAGAACAAATGTCAGTTCTCTTAAGGGATACCGCTCAAAGGATTTCAGGGCGTAGGAGAAAAGATTCAGTTGTAGAATTAATGGACAAGAAGCCAAAAAGGTATGTTTACGTAAACATACCAATGAGGTGTTTTGCTCAAGCTGAAATGGAGGTGACAGAAAGCAAAATGGCTTTAGGAGGGATAAAAGAGGTTCGGGCGGGCGACGTTGCAGAGGCTTGGGAAGCAGCAGGTGGGGAAAAATTTGAGACAAAATAAACAATAAAGCCTGAGGGGCGGTGGGAGGCTGCTTGCTAGAGAGAAGCGTGATAAAAAGGTGGCAGCTAGGAAAGAAGAAATAGGCAGAGGGCTGTGGTCTTCCTCTAACCATTTTGTCTGTGCGAGAAGGCATGATGGGGTAGGTCTTGCGTTACCAAAATGCATTCGAGTCTCAATAAAAGTGCCTTTTCATTAAAAAGTAAAAGGTGAAAATTATCACGTTAAAGCCTGATTAGTTTGACTTCCAGTCCAGCACCTTCGGTTGATGGACTCTTAAATTGTACATAGGTGAATATAAACATTTGTCTGTATGAATGATTGGCGCCCATTAATGGATGCACCCCGCCACACCCATAATCCTAATGAAGAGAAAGGCGGTAGGAAATGGATGGATGGATGTTTAATGAATATCACGCCGACTGTATCTCTGCATCATTAACTACTAATCAAGTCTTCGTTTGACTCCAAACGAATGTTCCGAATTTCACGACATTTCCTTCAGGCGCTGCTGCGGAAAAAAAAAAATGGGAGGACAGATGGAACGACAACCCAAAAATAAAATGCCCGTGGCAAAGAAAAAAGGGGGAAAGGAAACGTCTAAAAAGATGACAGTGCCACAATCAGTCATACCACAGAAAGAAAAAGAGCACGTAAAACCGGGATAAGGCAATGATTAGTATTCACTCTGCTGAGCAACTTCTCACCAAAAGTGTCATCGGAGGAGACATGTGCGTGGGAACGATTCTAAATTTAAAACAAGAGACCAAGACACTGACGGAGACAAGTAATTAATCATTAACTGAAGAGCAAGCAAAGAAAAGAGAAGTGCCGCAGTGCCGAGAATGCTCGAGCATCACACGCAAATAGAAAACTTCAAGGATAATAAGCCCAGCGCAGCGTCGAGATGAGAGGCGCAGGCGAAAAATTCACTCCACGCAACACGCGGCAGACTTAAATGTGGTATTTTGTTGTCGTCGTCAGGGCGACCGGTGGCGTAGCGTTCAAAGGGAGGACCGACGACGTACTACACGACACTGATGTGCTGTGAAAGAGGCGGCACGTTGACGCCGTGATGAATTACTTATGAGATTCCTCAGTCACTGACAAAAACATGCGTATCATCCATAAAGTATGGCGGGATTCTTTTCATATGAATCAAAAGACTCAACACGATGGAATGTGCGAGCCAGGTTTAGGAAAACAGTTTGTTCGTTATCAGGAGAACTAGGAGGTGGATTTCCCTCATTGGCAGCAACGAGCATTGGACCCAATTTAGAAAAAGACCAGGCTAACAAGTTTTGAGCCCTCTGAACTGAAAAAGAAACTTTGCTGCAAATGCATCATATTATTATGTGTGAGATATAAATGTTAAAATTAAGGAGACGAAATAAAATGATTTTCAATTAATAATCAGTTGAGTTTTGGTTTTGCTTTTTGGCAAATCTGGTTTTGGAAAATTTTGGAGAAAAAAAAAAAGTATGAGGGAGGTGGTCCTCATGGTATGACCGAAGGTTAGAGAACCACTGGTGAAGAGTATAAAAGCTGCAAGTGAAATTGTTTTTTTTTTGCTCAGGCCCACCCTTTCAAACCAAAAACATAGAAATTTTCCTCAACAAAAGTTCAACATTACTACAAAATGAAATGAATGACATTCAACACATCATTCACAGAGTTATCCCATTTAGCGAGAACGTCGACGCGAGTACCTGGTGACCTGATTAACCAGACGAGTTTGCAGTAGCAAGTCTCTCTCGGGCAGCAGATTTTCACAGATGAGGTTCTGATTGGCGCGCACCGCAACGCCGTGGCACACGCACAAAGAACAAAGCACCTCCAGCACCTGCAAGGCAACCTGTTAGCACTTGACCCAGCAACAGCATCATCAATTCAACTCATCATCACAACTCTCCCCCTGCCCCCCCGACCCAGCCTTCACCTCAAAATTATAAAAGTTTTTCAATCCTATGGTTTGAGTGGTACACATGGTTATTAAATTGGATGGCCGTTCGGATTATAAAGGGTGCAGAAAAAGTTTGAGAACCCCTGCCACATCAATTGCGTCAACATTTTTCAAGCAAAACACAAACGAGTCAGCCATACCTTGTGGTTGCGCCCGTGCTTGTCTAGAAAAGCGATGATAGATTGGATGTGTCCCTCTTTGATGGCATTGAGTGCTTGAGGGCTTTCCACCAAAACGCAGTGCAGAACCTCCAAAACTCCTACGCATGCCATGGGCAGTAAATATGAGCTATGAATTATTGAGTATGCGTTCTGTCCGGCATATCAAAAATTTGTGGAAAAATAAGTCAAGTTTTGTAAATGAGAGGTTTTATTCCTGGAACGCACCAGAAGAGGCCTCCAGTCGGTCCAGTCTGCTAATGAGCCAATCAAGCGAACCAGAGAAATGCGCGCTGTTTGCCCGGTTTCTCCTAATAAGCGAGGCTGAACCCAAAAAAAAAAAAAAAAAAAAAGGAATATAGATGTATAAAACATGAGAAACAGACCCTGAATATAGGAAACATTTAGAGAATTCCAATAGCACTTGGAGTGACGGATTTATTGAAATGAGGCACCTACCCAGAAGCTCGTATAAATGCCCCAGGATGACCTCCCAGTTTTCTCCAGCATCGTTTGGTGTAGCCTCAGGAAGATGTGAAGCGTGACTATACTGGTGTAGATGGTCAATACACTCCAATACCAACTCAATCACTCCCTGAGAGAAGCACAAACATACATAAAAAAAAAAAAAAAAAAAAATGCAGACGACATTGTATTGCACCAATTTATTCCGTCTAATGACCTCTTCTTGAAACATGTTCTGCCGATTCGTTAACGCAGTTCGGCTGTTTTGTGGAGCTTCGTGGCTCCGCTCCTCCGGTGGCGGCTGGAAAAAGCATATTAGGTCTTGGAGGCTGCGTGTCACGTCGGCCACTGGTAAAACGATGGAATGGAGGTTTCCTTGCCCAATACAAGAATCAAGTTTCCTAGATGTAAAGGGGAGAAGTAAGCGCAAGATTTCAGGAAGAAAAGAGGGGGCAGGATGAGGTCCCCTTGGGTGCGCGTCCAGTACCTGACGAAAGTCGTGAAGAGGAGCGTTGCGCTCCGTATGAGGCTGGCAGTGTGAGATTCTTCCTTCTGAGACCGAGACAGCGTCAAGCCGTCGTCCATGTGACCTTCACCGTGCAAGATAGCCTGGAAAAAAAAATCTGATCTTTGGATTCTTTGAGTATGTTTCTCTCCTTGAAACGGGAGTCAGTTTCAAAACATTTTGCAAGACACCAAACAGAATTGAGCTTATTTTACAGGCCATTTGAAAAATGTCGCTTTACCTTTCGCTGAGATCCTCCCATGCACGTAGACTTGCTATCAGTCGCTTGGTAGGTGAGCCACAGGCCAGAGTCGACATGCTGAAGGTAACAGACCGAGTCTCCGTATTTGATCTCCGGGGATCCCATGCCATCCGCACGAGTCTTTGGTCCACAGTCCAGCTTTTCCTAAAGACAGTTACATATGTCTGCTTACAATTTAGGGCCATTTCATCAGCCGATTAGTTTCAAAAAATATACAGTCGAACCTGGTTACAACATACCTCGAGGGCCATCACGAATCTGTACGTTATAACGGTCGTTCGTTGTAACGATTTCTAATAAAATGGCCGCCAATTAAGTCATCATATAACACAGTATGATCCTTTATAGATGTAAAAACTTGAAAATGTAATACAGTACAAAAAAGCCCATTACAAATCCGTGTACGTGAAGACAAAATGATTATAAAACATGAAACAAACAACTGTCGCCTTCCAACTTCATCACTGAAAACGTTCAGCCAGCAAATGTTACTCGCATGAAACATGAATTCCCGTCTGAGGATTCGACTGTTTTGCATCATTGTGTCCGATAGTATTTGTTTCACTTAACAATAAAGAGAAAAATCTGCCAATTTTAAGAGCTAATAGTTGAGGTTTAATTACCGTAACCGGTCAATTTCATCGTTTGAGCATCACACAAAATGTCAAAAAAACAAAAAAAAAACTTGAAAGTTGAGGCATTCCTAAGTCAAGGTACAACTAAACTTTTATGTCATCGAAGCTTATTCAATTCATCCGCACCTTAGCAGAACGGAAGCAAAAGGAGGTTGCAATAATGTCTGCCTTGTCCCGATCCACCAAATGGAGGCCTCGTTCGTCCGTCAGGCCCAGATAGCGTCCAGTTGTCACGTGACACAGTCGGAAGGGCTCCCCCCAGCTTGTATGTCTGCCACTCCACCTTGACAAATATTTGTCAAATCATGAGAACATTCAAAGACTTTCCAAGGACTTTGCAGCTTTCTCCAACCCTGGAACTGTGGTAAATTTGAGAGTTTTATTCGGAAAACGAATGGCGCACAGTGAACTAGTTTGTGCAGCAACATTAAAAACATGCTGTCACGCATCACAATAAAGTACTGATTACAACTGTACTTACTGATTTGGCCTCCAGCAATTTCCATACACATATTTACACTAACTAGGATTTCACTCATGTTTGAATGCAGGTTCTAGATAATGTTTATAGACTGCGAGACTCCGTCTTGTAATTTTTGTACTCATCCAGGTTACCACTGAAGAAAAGTACCTCAACTTCCCTATTGAGTTTTCAATCGGTGAAATGACAGGACGCATCAGTCACCAATCCCAGTCGGGAACAGAGACGAACACAATTTGATACCTGAGGGCCCGTTTCTACTTACGCCACACGCAAGATCTCCAGCCTCCAGAGAGAGCGGGCCTGTCTGCACACTGATCCAATCTCATACTGCATTATCCTAGATTAAGAAAAACGCGATCTGAGATGGCGGGGAGGGGAGTTTTGTCAGGATGACATGCGAAGGTAGATGAGCCCTCGCGACTGACCTCTGCAGCTCTTCATCTTGTTCTGCTGTCGGAATAGTCAGACATGCGTCGGTGTGGCTGTGGAGAAGCCTGAGCGTGTCGCCGCCCCTCAGGTATCCTAGAAGCGGAGCAGCAAGCAGAAGATATCATCCCCCGCTCAAATGGGATGTACTCCAACGAATCATGCGTCTTTCAGTGTGGCAACAGTGCAAATGTGAGGAAAAAGTTTGCCTTGCGCAAGTCCACTTGCAGAGCACAAGGGGGCAACGCTCCACAGTGAGTGCCGGAAGGCTGCATCCGCAATCAGACTGTCACCCAAGCCTCTGTTGTCACAGGCCGTGCCAAAGGACAAGTGCTGGGAAGCCACAAAAGATGCCTCATCACAAGGTGACCCGGCCGCTTTTCTTTTTTTTACCAGAATGCAGCTTGGAGCCTTTTGCTGAGGATACCTCAGGTTGAAGGTGATTCTTCAAACTGGAACAGCGAAAAGGTCAATTCCATTTATCATAATGAAAAATAAAATAAAAAGTTCCACAAATTCAGAATTGACTAAAATGAGTCACACAAGCCAAAATGACCCTAATCGGGATCAGCACCAAATGCGACCTGTCAAGACACTCATCTTCAGCAGATGCCTGAATTGCATCTTTCATATTATTAATAGGCGCGCGCGCGCGTGTGTGTGTGTGTGTGTGTGTGTGTGTGTGTGTGTGTGTGTGTGTGTGTGTGTGCGCGTGAATATTGCTGCTGTAACAACTTGATTTCCCTCACAGGATGAATGAATCATTCAAACTCCACACAGGAAGATCCTGAAACCCAAACCTCTAAACTGTGAGTCACACGCGCTAACCACGAGGCCACTGTGCCGCTCGAAAATCCGATAATCCTCACTGAGACGTTGAGGAAAATCAGGAAAATCCCCTCATTTACCAGATATCTCTCTGAGGACACATTGACCAGGATGAGGTCGTCACCAGCGCGCACCTTCTCTCCCTCTGACCTCTGTCTGGAAGCGGGATGCACAGTCCACCAACAGGCCTCGCCTATGACACAAAGACAAGAGAACAGTCCAATTGTATCCAAGATGGAACGTGACCAGCCTCCCTAAAATCATCTGCAAGTACCCGCTTTATCCTCCTGCAGGCCCACATCGAAAGCTAGCTTGTCGGTGGAGGACCGCGACGCGGACAAGCAGCTGAGATACTGCGAGTGGAGAGAACAGCAGGTGGAAAAACTTCACAAGACAACCGAAACTAACAGTGGCCGTGTTGTTCATCCTTGCAGGGAAACCTTGATGACTCACCATGCCGCTGTACGAATGCTGGAAAAGTAAAGCCTGGCCGTACAGAAGGGTGCGATGGTTGCCCCCGGCTGCCTGTAAAAAGCACATTGAAAAATGGACATATGGCCCTGATATCAAATAAAAGGTTGAAATCATTTTTATCCCGCGGCAGTTGTATCACGGCACTGACAGTGTGCGGAAATGAAATGATCAGCGGGAGTATGAGATAACCTCTGCAACCAGGCTTTCGCTGTGTGCCAGCATCTCCTGCAGAGCTCGGACAGACAGACACTGGACCAGGATGAAGCCACATACAGACAAGTCTGGTGGAACATTCTATTGGGGTAGGAAAAGAAAAGAAAAAAAAAACACGTCAAATATTTGTAGTTTTTCCACAGGCTCACAATGGCCGACGTTGACTGGAAACAACTTTCAAGGAGATGTACCACTAGCACTTCCAGTGACCTTGAAAAAGTTACGCAGTTACTTTACTGGTTACTTGCTTGAAAAAGTAACTTTGTCACTTCACCAATCACTTACATTTGAAAAGGAACTAAGTTCGATTACAAGATACTTTAATAGTTACCGGTACATCCAGCAAATAAAAATGACCCCTATTCATAAAACTGACACTTGGTTTTACTACTTAATTAGAATTGAGTTTTTATTCAAACTAAAATAGACAACCTTTTTTGACAGATCATAATTATTTGAATAAAACACAAAATAATTCAACTGATTTTTTTTTTTTTTTTTAAAAGATGACTTTCCAGGATTTCATTTAACATACATTATTATATTAGCTACTTATTCAAACATGTGTTATTGAAGCTAATGTATTTTATTAGTAATTCATTTTACATAAAAATACATGCGTGAGAGAGGCATCGTTGCTAAGAAGAAAGTGTTTATTTAACTCATCAATTCTTTCTCGCAATTGTTTTGACAATGTAAAAATCTTTATGGCCATCCACGGCAATCACAAGCTGTCCGGTTTGCCCCCCCCCCCCACGCTGTATTCCGTCCATCTCGCTTGGTTCATGGTAACCTGAAACGGGGCTGCCGTGTCCTCGGGAACACATGTAACATTTGCTTTAAAATACCCAAAAGATCAATAATTATCCAGCAGTCGAAACCCTCTGCTTTGCGGTTTGTTACCATGGCAACAAGGGGCTGCCCTCAAGGTAACAATGGCGAAACGCATGCAAAGGTACTATATCTGAGTACACTATACAAATAATTAATCATCATTACTGACAAGGGCGTTGGGAGTTCTTTCCACACACGATGAGACAGAGAAGGGGGGGGGAAGAGATATATCGCCGTTTGTCATAAGGCGGAGAATGTTCCCTTTACCTTACAGTTGGAGGTGGCCTCCAGCCGGCACAGCCTGCTGCCAAAGCCCTCGGCAGCCAGGCAGACTTTCACATGCTCCTCCTGAGAGGTGAAGACGCTCTGCAGGACCACTTCATCACCCTGACGTGAACACCCGCAGGGAACAAAATACAGTCCTGAATGAGAGTGAAAATCTATTTTGCACAGAGTTCAAAGCAGCATCTGTGACTGATCTTTTCGGTGCGTACGTTACCTCCTAACTGCGTAAGTGATATAGCGGCAGCTGGATGGGTGGAATATTTCTCTTTTAAGGGAATAATACTTCCTTAGAATGATCATACAACTTTGACGGCATGCTACTGTACTCCCATTTTAGATGGCCAAAAAAAATGCAATTTATTAATGTTGCATATCTGTTTGGGATTACTCCTTCCGTTTCCACGAAAATAAAAACAAGACCCTAAATAATTATGGCGTGAATGACAAGAGTCGCCGGTCGATCTCTGCCACCTCTGTCAAACTTATCTTCATTCAAATACCAAAATGGACAGCATGAAAGCCATCAGGCCACTGTATCTATTTCAGGAACATTAGAGCGAGACTGCAGATGACTGCAGTCCAGCCAGGACCACCAACACCTCGTGGTAGCCTGGCTGTGTCGCTCCATATTGGGAAGATACCCTCATTCCACTTGTCCATATCAGCAGCACTCTGCAAGCAGTCAAACACACTGTCCTATGCTGAGATACTGCTGAGATCGTTAACAAGCACAGCTGTTTTTTTGTTTGTTCGTTTTAAATTAAAAATGCTGCCATAAATTGCTTTTCATGTTAAACGTCTTGTTTAAGATGCTCACACTCTCATTTTTGTGCTCTTCTGGATCTCTTCAGGTTTATCCTTGAGTTGACATTGCAGTTTCTTAACATTGCAGAGGCATCAAAATATCTCGTCAAATCTATTAAGGGCAGTCACTTTATGCTTACGTAGGACTTTGTTCTTTTATTTTGTTTGCTTGCAACCAGACCGTAGCTGCTGATGTTATAGCTGCTGATCTCCCATCCATAACACTTTCTGTGCTCCGTATCAGATAGATCATACGTTTACAACTGGGCAACTGTGATAACATCGTGCACTTAAATTGAGATACCGAGGCCGTTTGTGGTCTCCCTTGCCTGTGCCTGAGTAATCCAAGCAAAAATAAGGCTGGGAACTGCACTCTTCAGCCAGAACCTGTGGATTCTGTGCACCCAATTGGCTCTGTGGAAATGAAATACAGTGCTGGCTGGATTCTACATTTAAACCAAGTGTGAGATACAACAATAAAGGTTGTTAGCATTAATGGAAAGTTATATTTGTGAGACAAACGAATGTGAGGCGGCCCAGTTGACTGTCACTTCAAGGAATTTGAGAAATTACATTTAATGACTTTTCCAATATTAAAAGTACCAGATGACAACAACAATGAAAAAAAAGTGACGTTTAGTCTCTCATCACTGTTATGGTCTTGCTACATGTCACTCGTTTTTGGCCATTGACTTTCATTGCTAGGCTATGTTAATATTTATCATTCATTACTCACAGTTCGTAGAAATTGGACTTCGTCTTCGCCCTCGCCTTGGTCGGACATTATTTCCAAACTTGGTGGCAGTTGTAAGAGGAGCGAGAAGAAGTGGAGAAGTACAGCGACAGACAGCAAGTATGAGCTGTTTGGATACACTGTTCGTCCATTGAAAGTGGGCGCGGCCATCAGACAAGTCCCATGATACGAAGGAAAACATGGCGGTCGCTCACGTTGGCGGGAAAGTTTTTTTTTTTTTTTTTTTGCGTGTTTTTTATAATTAAAAAAAACAAATACAAACCACACGGGCATTTAACGTTCCAAACGATAAATTAATCTTATTCTTCACAAATTACAAATACATGTGACGCAAAAATAATTCATCCACTGGTTCAGACAAGGTTTACATTGGCGGGGACTGTGCTGCGTTTAATTTGTCTGATGAACTTGGAATACAGTACAGGTACTGCATTTCCTTCTTCGATCCAATTTTCCTTTACTTCAAGGTAAAAAATAACATTTTTTTTCTTCATGTGGAGATAATGTAGCAACTAATTCTGACACATATATTTCAAAAGGTCTCAAATTTCTAATTTGAGCAGTGTTGATTGAAAGTCCTGTTTCTCAAAGGTTTTATGAATGCAACATTAGGGAAGAAATACAGTACAGGACTTCACAGTGGTGCCTTGAATAATCGCGGCGCGGAACCCGCGGGTTCATCAATTTTTAATTTTCTTTTCTTTAAAAACGTGTAAATTGCATTGAGTTAAGCTATTAATAGTGTCTATCAATCTATCCATCCATCTAAATGTCTATATATCTAGAGGATCTAAAATGTCCACACAACCCTCTTCAAATGTTCGTGTTTGTGATGTAAAAAACTCAACCAAATTTCATATTCACAGTATGGGAGTCGGCAACACCTACCAACATTTAAAGTGCCTCTGATTAACCCCTAATAAACTCCAGCTGTTTGTAGTAGGTTTTCCCGAATATTCTTTTGCTTTCTTGCAGAAGCCTTAAGATTTTGTGCCCAAGGATTGTTGGGCCGCCAGTCGACCTCTCGCTCAACAGAAAGAGACCACACAGAGATTGTCTGAATACAATTATTTCAATTTGTTTTATAGGCACAATGAAAAGTTACAGGAGACCAATCCAGCCGGTTGTCGTTGTTGTCCAAAGTAGACTTTATGAGTGTATATCTAAAATGAAAAATAAGTTGAAACATGCATGCGCGTTCATGTGTTTTTCCAGGCCGTCCATTTGGATAATATATTTTTCGGGTGTAATTTGGGAATTAATTTATTGAATACGTCTTCACTTGTTTTTCCATTTAACTTAAAGAGGACATATTACAGAAAACTGACTGTCTGAGATACTACCAAGCAGGCACACCCATAAACCCCTGTTATCACGTTGAGGCTAAAAGGTAAGCAGAGCTGCGTTGCGTTCTGCCACATACATAAAATGTATGACATTTTCTTCCACAAGACAGAATGCGTTCTGTGGTGTATTATACACGCTGGACTCTTCACCCACAAATGTGAAACCAAAAGCCTGAGTTGCCATTGGCCCGGCAGTAAAAGGGGCGGGGTCACGGCGGTCACTTGCATGACACAGGTCCGGCCCCTTAAAATGGGCTTGTTTCAACAAGGTGAGAAATAAGTGTGCAATAATTCTTGATCCCTCGAAAAAAAAATTTATGAAAGCATGTCACAGACATGTTATTAAAACTGGGGTGTTTTTAAATGTTTTTCAAAATGCATAATATGTCTCCTTTAAAGCATCTGGAAATGCCTTTTGATGTGGTATTCCCAAAGAGTAACTGCAAGGTCTCACTTTATTAAAACAATGCATTTCATTTTGTGTATGAATATTTCTGTGTATCAAGCAGGCATTTTCTAGGTAACAGGCGGGGGCTGCCATGTGAGGGGTTAGAGGTCACTCTCCCCATAGAGGGCGGTGGAGAAGGCGGTGTAGTCCAGCGCCCCCGGTGGCGCTCCTGGGATTCTGTAGGGCGGCATCCTCATGATGCAATATTCGGCTTGCTCGGGAGGAAGTTCTCTCCTCAGCTCCTCCACCAGGATGTACGGCTGTGATGCAACGCAAAGGCAAGGATTTGACGAATATGATCATAAACTGCAAGAATGGCAAATACGCTACAGTGGTACCTTGGCTTTTAGAGTTTGAGTCTTTCAGTGCCAATTTCTTGGCATCAAGAAGCCAAAAGATGGCGGCAAAGCAATATGTTTGTGTGAATAAAGTTCCTCGACTTCCATCAACATATTTCCTTGGTGCCAAGATGCCACAAGATGGCGGCAAAACACTACTTATATTGCCTTGGCGTGAGCACAAAAAAACGGCAAATAGCTGAGTATTTCGGTAAATAATTGAGGATAGTTTTTTGTTTTTCTTTAAAAGCAAAGCACTACTTTTATTGCCTTGGCGTGAGCACAAAAAACGGCAAATAGCTGAGTATTTCGGTAAATAATTGAGGATAGTTTTTTGTTTTTCTTTAAATCTACAAATAGGCAACGTAAAGATGAAAATCAGACAAGGTGCATCCGTACAGGGAAGCACTTCCAATTTTGCCAGTGGCAGCTCACAACTCTAAAAGCTTGGAGGTCGGGGGCAGGTCAAGGTCCCACTTCACTGAAGCGCTAATAACTCAGAAAGTGTTTTTATCTGTGGTGCTGTCATTCTTTTTCTTCAAACACAAACCTTGTCGCCCGCCAAAATCCGGAAGGACGCTACAACCTGCTCGGCAGTGTCGGTGTCAGCAGTTTCTCTGGTCATAAAGTCAATAAAAGACTGGAAAGAGACGATTCCAGTGCCATTGGGGTCGACAAGGATCATGATCCGGGCGAACTCCACCTCGCCCTAAATGGGGCAGAAAAAGAGCAGTTCTCAATAGCATGTACACGCAAGCTAGCATGTACCCACAGGCTAGCTAGCCCTGACTGAACCTCGACTGCGTGCACTTATAGCACCTCACCAGATCGTAGCCCATCGAGATGAGGCAGGCTCGGAAGTCATCCGTCTCCATGGCACCATTCTTCTTCTGTGATTGGAGGGCTCATCGTTATGAACAGGAAAGGAAGGCTGGATTCACACCCACGTACCCGTTTCTAATTGAATGTTTATATCGGATTGTTTTGACCGGGCGCCTAAATAACTCCACAAGACAGAGCAGCGAGAACACCGTAGAGCAAACAATAATACATAAATAATAAATATGAAATATATTAAACATTTACTTCAGTCTTTCCCCAAATGAAGAAGCGTGTGGTTGCGGTAATCTTGGCATTACGCCACTGTCTTCCCTCAACAAGCATTTTGCTTATAGAATGATGGACACACCTCTAATGTACAAAATGGCATATTGAAACATTTTTTAATTGGCCATGCTTTAATTGAAGTTTAAAGCTTGTGATGCAAACGGTGTCGCGCGGGGCAATCCATCGCAATCGTTACCCGATCAAAGTGGTTGAAAGATGATCTGAATTCATTCATCTGCTGCTGGCTGATGCCCTTGGCGTCGCGGGTCAGGATCTGGGTTTCGATCTCGTTGATGGTGCGGGCGACTGTCGTGAGGAGCAGCTCCCAGCCAACGCGGATGTGCTACGCATGCGGATGTGATGACAGCATGGGAGACAATCCGTCAGTAAGTGTACGATGACAACGGAGAGTCATTTTTTTCTGAAATTGTGGCCTTTGGGCAACGCGGGGGTTCAGGGTGTTCCCTGCCTACTGCCCAAAGACAGCTGGAATAGGCTCCAGCACACCCGCGATCCTGCTGAGGATCAGAAAATGGATGGATGTTTTTCGACATAAAGACCTCTCTTCAATAATTATTTAACAAGTTGGGAAATGAATAAACATCAACATGTGATAACATTTCCTTGGAAATCACAATGCCCCATCACTGGTGAGCTTTGCAGACATCAGCAGACGTGGCACCTGTAAAGCTGACATTTACAATGGAGCGAAAAAAAACTAAAAGACAACAAAATGTGTTTTCCACAAAAAAAAAATGTCCCCCAACATTGTACCTCCATGGTGTAGTTGGTGTGTTTGTTGTCAAACACCAGCGACTCCTGGATGAGCTGGTGATCTCCCTCCAGCTTGTCCACGTTGGGCTTGTAAGCGACGATGACGTGCTCGCACTGCTTCAATTGGGTCATCTGGTCCTCCAGGGTGCCGCCAATCTCCAGGGAGCAGCGTCCAATCTCCTGTTCCACAAGGTCAATTACATTCGGTTGTATCGGACCAATTTCTTTACAAACACCGCAGAGTCCGCTGCCGCTCTCGTCACCCTCCAGTTATGGTGACGGCTCCTCCTCGCCGGCCTGCTCTCCGATGTGTTTCAATATTATTAGCCTCCATTAGACGGCCATAACCGTATGAAAGTGTCATGTCATGTCTGACCTCCATCCTGGCCTGGATCCAGGGTCCAATTAAGTTAGCCTGTGCGGCAAACTGGCGCCTCAACCTTTCATGGGCATGCTGGTGTGCCAGCTCCTCCTGCATGGCGCTGTCTCGCTGCGGAACCAACTTCTTGACCTGAAGTGACACGCGCGGAGCTGACGGCGTATTGCCAACGGGCGAGGCTTAAAAAAATGGCTTTGAAAGCGGTGGGCTACCTTGTCCCATTTGACAAGGAGCTCGTCGGTGGTGATGGCGCTGTAAGGGTTGATGATGTTGGCCTTGATCCCGTAGCTCTGGGAGATTTTCTGCACCTCATTGTGGATTCCCAGGATGGCCTGTCGCTCAGCATCCGCCTCCGGGAGAGTCGCTTTGAACTGCTCGTGAGCCGCAATTAGACTCTGGAGGGCAGGCGAAAGGGAAATTCTGAAATGCTGTTAAAAAGCCAACGTTTTGTCAGGTGCGATCAATTTCTTCAGCAGACGTGTTCCCGCGCGGCGAATCATCAATCAGTTTCAATTCCGATCAGGTGAAACTAAGTTGGAGAATGGTAAAAGTAGATTACTTTTACCATTAATTTACTTCCGCGGCTGTCAAACTGCTGCTCAAGCATTGCCTGCACAGCGAACAGACGTTCTATGATGGCCATAGTTTGAGCGTGGAAAACATTACAAATGTTTTATCGCGGATTTGACATAAGTCAAAAAGACCGAAGGGACCCTGCGATTTCTTTTCTTAGTTTCATTGGATCAATGAAAGGCAAACTTGAATGTTACCTGAAGCCGCGTCTATTTTCATACTTTGCACTTAACCGCCTTCCTTAAAAAGTGGCCGGACGACCACTTATTTGGAACGGCGTTTCGCAATTGACCTAACATTCACCACCCAGCTGATTTTCACACGAAGCGGAACTCCAGTACAGCGAGCCGACGGGGTGCGTCTCGCTCAATCCGTCGCATCGCCCGTTGTGCCCGCGCGCCTACCTGGACTTCGTCTACGGTGTGCACCATAAACATGTCCTGCAGGTCTTCCATGGCTCCCTCCATCCAGTTGTTGAAAGGAGCCGAGCGTTTGGCAAACTCCAGGAACAGCTGGTCGATGGTCTCCAGCAGCTTATCTGTGCGCTGCAGAAATGACGACACCACATAAATCCTAAAAAAAAAAATACAGGCTCCGAATGTCCAAGCTGACCTCTTCCAGGACAAATCCCAGCGAGAATTACCACCCCCCCGCACGCCCGGCCCCCGACGCTCACGGACGCACCTGTTCTAACGACTAACCCCAGAGAGAACAACATTAGCATGGCCTTGTTAACCGCAATTTTGGCTCGGCTCGGAGGGGGATTGTGTTGAGTGGGACGTGGACAGACAACAGGCCTCTGTTGCTGTCATTCACGCTTAATCCTCAGACCTTTTCCTGGGCCCTCACTCATGCACTTGCGGGTCAGGAATGGTCCGCACGGATGAGAGGAAGTGGCCGGGGTGGGACCGGAGCCAGTTAGCGGCCACACGATGACAGCCATGTCTCCATCCAATCCCATATGAAACACCTCTGGATATTTTGGTTTGAAAGGCATCAGCGTGGACCGATGTGGATCATGAGCGCACTCTGGTGGAGACTCGCCACACATGCCAGTGCGTCCAGAGGACGTGAAGGCAGGCGCGATCCATGTTCGTCTTGCTCACGTTCTTTCGTAGTCCTCACCTCCAAGGCTTCCCTCCTTTTCTGGGTCAGGGTTCCCAGTCGGTCCCACAAGTCGCAGATGCTCTGGCAGCGCTGGTTTACAGCTGCCACGTCGTGGTAGTCCAGCTCACTGGAAAAGAAAACATGGACTCTTATGATAGAAGATATGTTGTTTTCAACCACCCCCCAAAAGGTGGAAATGCTGATATATTTTTTTTTTTGTGTGCGAATTTAATTGTTTCTTATAATGGGTTGTAAATATTAAAACAATGAACCAAAACAAAAGAAGGAAATATACAAGTACATTCTGGCCATGTCTACTCGAACGCAGATAGTGTTGTCGATATTGTACAATACTAAAAAAAAAAAAAAAAAATTACACACAAAAGTAGCTTTTGTAAACCTCTGACCAAAGTGAGGACTTTTCCAAGTTATCAACTTTTGCTTTTTCAAACTTGTGATTGTCCAACATTTTTTTTTTTATTTTGTGATTTTTTATTTATTTTTTTATGTATTTATTTAATGTGATTTATGTGTCGAGTGAGCCTCAGCCATTCGCGCCCGACATAAAGCG